CCCCCCCCCCCCCCATACCCCCCTCCACAAACACAGCAGACCAGCGGTACCTGTCAGGAAGACTTGGAACGGGACATGCTTATAGTGTTCAGTGACACTGTGGAGGAAGAGACGCTGCCAGGACACACAGGCAGACGAAGAGAGGTGGATCTGCTCCCTTTCGCTTCTTTCTCCATCCTGCTGTTTTTGAGGTGCTTCTGTCATCTATCTCCCCCATCCCAATTATGTTTTGATACCGCACACTGCTCCTCCCAACTCGCCTTCTTGCTCATCCACCATCTAGTCCTGCTGACACTTTCCATCACAAAGGTCCAAACAGTCAGCCTGCCCCTGGTGCTCGTAGTTTTGGTGTTGAGCTCGGGGTGATTAGGGTGTGCCCAGGCTGGCACACCCGACACAACCCATGCGAATGCCTATGCATGCAGTATATCAATTTATATCATTATATCATAATTTTACCTGTAATGTAATGGGGTCAGGCAAGTTTCCTTTCTTTGGCCAGTCCCATTCTTTTATTCTCTCTCCTTCTTTGTCAGTTATTACTCCACCAATCTGATTATAGTGCAATACATAACAATAGCTACAGAAACATTAGAATAAATATAATAAATTGTAATAACACCAATAAAAACATTTTGGGGGTTAAAATTAGTTTTTTTCTGTAAGATTTATGTGAATTGAAATAACAATTTACTTTGATTTTGCTATATGGAGCGATTGAAAGGCTTACTTTAGCTTTTAGGTTGGTGAAAATTAATATGTAACAGTCTGTCAGCAGAAAAGCTCTGAAACAGAGGTATTTAAAAGAAACCTACAGTGAAATAAATTTGTAGGCAGCAATTGCTGACCTCCTTTTGAAAATACTGGTTGCCTGGTTGTCTTTAGCTTTAAAGTGTTATCAAACTCTCAAATTTATTTTCAACAATAAATCTAGAGTGAAAAATGTACATTGCCCAGCATAGTATATCTGTACATTTTCGCCCACGTACCTACAATCATGATGTTTCCAAACAGTTGTCTCCAAGTCTCTCAGCTCTGCTACCCTAAACTTCCTATCCAGTACAAGATCACAAGGTACAGAGCAGTCTCCAACAGCTGTCCATCTACTAGCTTGGAGAAAGGAGCAAGGAGGAGAGAGGAGGGAGGAGCGGGGGACAGGGAGTGGTTTGCCTTCCTGGGCCTGTGTGTTTGTGGAGACACACTCAGCTTGCTATGAAACACACAAGGGTGGTTCCATAGGACCCTGCAAGGGAAAGAAGCCACCCTAAAACAGGATATCAGGGCCAGTGTTCAGGGGATCAGCTGATTCCGCAGGAAACTAAAACATTTAAACATCAAGGACAGCATCCATTGTAAGAGATTTAATCAGCATTTGAAATAGCTGTAAAACCTTTTCATCACTTTGATACAGTCCAAACCACTGACTGTCACAGCAGCCAATTGGGTTACAGTGAAGACAGAACACCTGATCTGCATACTTGTTGAAGATGACTGACACAGAAAGTACCAAAGCATATGGATATGCATTATCCCCAGGTTACAGGCAACTAGCATTTTCAGAAGGAGAAGTAATGGCAACTTGCATACCTCAGTACAGGTTTTCTAATGTTAATAAGGCCACTTTACCTCCCTATTTTTTGAAACTTTGCCTAATTCCTTCAAAACCATTATCCGTTTGAAAGTGTTAAATCAGGGTTGTTGAGCATGAATTGGGGTTGAGGTTTATATTTTAGAAATGTATAAATCAATAATGACAGGTGTGTTTTCATAAAAAGTACATAAATAACAGGTACACATAGAAAAAAAAGTGTAAAGGTAGTTGCACCACAACAAACCAGATATTTACTTGATCTTTTGTACTAGAAAGTGGCAAAAATGCAACCTGACTTGTTGTTGAGGACAACATCCCCCACTCTTTCTACCAGTTTTTATAAATCAGTCCCACTATATCAAAATGGTAGTCCCCAGTCTTATGATATGTATCATCTAGTCCAGTGGTTCTCAACCTTTCTAGGGCCGGGACCCCTTGGTAACATTTGCCAAGATGTGGTGACCCCCAACGGAGCGCTGGACTCCAGAATTAGTAAGGCGCTGGATTTGGGACTAAAAATAGAAGCACACTCACAAGAATACAAGCCCTCCCCAGCCCCTGCTACCTGCTTGCCTGCTCTGTCTCCATGCAGCCTTCTCAGCCCAAGCACTGCTTAGACGCCCGCCTCCTGCAGAGCTCACATTGTATGGGCGGCAGGAGGACAGCAGCGGCTGTGAATAGAAAAGAACTTCTGTACACACTCCCCCGCCCCTAGATGTCGCTGCAGCAGCCAGGGAGTGTGTTTAGGGGCACTTTTATATTCACAGCTCTTGCTGTCCTCCCGCTGACTGACACTGCTGCGCTTGGAGGAGGCTGAGGAGCCTCTCACCTAGCGCAGCAGAAGTGGATGCTGCAACCCCCTCAACAGTGAGTTGCGACCCATTTTTGGGTCGCGACCCACAGGTTGACAACCGCTGATCTAGTCTAATTCTAGTGTATGTTTTTATTCAGAATAGCTACAAAACAAAGAATGATGTACAAATGATTTACTAGTTAGAGTATAAAAAACGTAGCACAAACCTGTCAGGAAAAGAAACACTGCCATGTCCAAAGGGAGTAAATGTACCCAGAATATCCTCCTCTGGGGAGAAGATGTTGGTATAAAATCCTCCATATGAAAGACCCGAGTGGCTTTGACACACAGCCAGATGCCCATTTGGATAGATGAACAGTGAGTTAAGAGAATGTTTGATTATGCTTTAGGCTTTAATTGAATTATATTCATAAAGCATGCGGTCAAAAAGACAATCTACAAATAGCATTCCTGTTATTGCAGATATGCAGACAAAGCTGGAGTTACATGTCTGTCCCCTTATCACCCCAGACCAATTGTCTTGTTCTGCCCCATCCCTACCTCAATAAACTGGCAATCCATACTAAAAATTGGCTATCACTCTAAAAAGATCAGATTCTGCTCAATTCACAAAGCTTTAATACAAGGATAAGAATTTTTATTTTGCCATGTGACTTATTTTCAAATATTATTAGACTTAGCTAAAAATAACTATCACTTTTTTAAATGAAGTATCCATATTCTGCTGTATAAGCTTTGTGAACTGAACCTCAGTTGTGATAACAAATAAAAGCATGGCAAGGTTGAAGGAGACAGTTCCCTCACTCTGTATCAGTATACTTAGGGCTGACAACTGCCACCTTGCAAGGTTTTTTAGAATTGCAGCAACTCCTGAATGAAAAAAAAAATGCCAGCTGGGTAGGTTTTGGCATCTTATACAGATGATTCCTGAATTGCTGTACCAGGTACGTCCAATAAAGAGGATGCCTTGGGGCTGACCTGTATTAGGCCTCCCAGCTGACCTGATCAAATTTTGAACTTTGCCAGGAAAGCTTAGAGCAGGGTTCCACAAAGTAGGAAAAGTAAGTAGTAATACTAACCTCCAAGGAACGATGAGACTATCCAAGATGTCTGGGGGTCTATAGGTGTTCGATAAATGAGGAAAGGTGGGTTGGGGTAAATATCTCCATGCTAGTCCCTAGTCCTGAAGGTGAGGATGCTAGTGGCAAGACAATCTCACCCAGGGTTGGATGATCACCTGCCACTAAAAACAGCCTTTACAATGAACTGAACTTTGGAAGCAGTGTTTAGGAAAAAGCAGAAAGAGGGCTAAGAACTAGTCACCAGAGTTGTCTGTAGGCTCCCTGCAGCTGATGTTTTCCCTATTACTGACTTACCATCCCTTGTTCTGCACTGTCTCTGTGTGGAAGCAGATATCTTGGCAGAGGCAGGGTTTTGCTTCCTCCTGTCAGTCTCCAGCAAGGAGAACAGTGAGCAGCACAGTAGTGACATCACCAAATCTCCTTAGAGTAGCGGTGAGAGGCACACTGCTGATATACAGCTATTAGGTTATAATCCCAAGAGTGCTTGAGCACCCTCAGAAGCAAAGTTCTGCATAGGCACAATTAACATTTTTTTATGTTTCCTTATATCATAGCAAATCTTCACTGTTTTGTTCAGTTCTACTTTGATTCGTCTCTACCAGCTGTCATTGTTACTGGCCTCATTTATCATTGTGTTTTATGTTGGGTGTCTATGACTTTTTACTCCCTTACTTTCAGGACGAATCTATATACAGTATGTGTTTACTTCCCGAATTGAGCTTACTCCCCCACCTGTTCAAAAGTCAGTAAGTATACCCAATTCAAACTCTTTAAAGAGCCAGTGAGTACACTCACAACTATAGGAATACTGCCAAAAAACTGATTGCCATGTTTTTCCTTCAGCATTATAACAACCATAATGGCAACTGCTGATACCAAGTGAAAGTGTTGACAGTACTCCCAAAAATATTACTATATTCTATGATTATTATTATTATTATTCATAGTACTTTTATTTAAAGTAGTATTTATTCAATTCATTTTAATTATTTTCATAAATGTTTGAGGGTACAAAAATGTGAAACTTCATTAAATGGTCGATGTGCTAAAGAATGTAGGGGCCCCTGACCTAAAGCCAAGGACTACCTGTTACGATCTTGTAGATAGTAAGTCAGAGTTTTTATGTTTTTCTTAGAGGATACTAAACCATTGAGGAGCCATCTGTCAGAGCATAATGGAGTTTCTGCAGAGATGGATTTTCCCGCTTGATCTCTGGGATTTTTGGCTTTCCATTCATCAATACAAATACAGGAGGTTTAGTGCTCTTCTTTTGTTTTAATATAGGATCCTTTTTAGTACCATCATAGTGTCTGAGGATAACTGGCTTGTTGAAGCCTTTTTCATTTAAATCTGATAACTGTTTGTTTCTGTAAACAGAAAAATTTAAGAATTTAAAAAAGGTACCGAATTGTTTCTCTTTGTAAATACTCATATGACTCTTGTTCACAGACACGAATCCGATTAATTTTTTCATATAGCAAAAACAGTTCCTGTAATAATGGTCAACATAGACACTTTATATATGGGCAATACATATAACGCATTCATATCTCTGCACTGCAATGCATTACAGAAAAACACAGTGTGCATGAATTACTACTCAAACCTATGTTTTGTGGCAGTCCATATAAATGAATGGTAATACACATACAGTGAAGGGAATTTATCAAAACTGAAGCCGACAAAATGTGGAGCAGCTGTGCACTGCAACCTATCAGCTTCTCTTTTTCATGTTCAAAACTTAAAGGAACAAACTAAAGAGAGAAGCCGATTGGTTGCCATGCAGAGTTGCTCCACATTTTGTGTGCTCCAGTTTTGATAAATTCCCCCCAGTGTGTTTAATGGCAAATTACACTATGATGACAGATATATAGAGGCAACCATTGCTGTAGAGCTGCAGCTAACGATTATTTTCAAAATCGATTAGTTAGCCGATTATTAAGTTCGATTAATCGATTAATCGGATAAACAATAAAATAAATTTTAAAAAATGGCTCCAGTGATGGGACTACTAGTTTGTATTGAGGTTGTAGTCCATCACAGGAGCAAGCTTGGAGCGGTGGAAGTAAAAAAGAAAAAAAAGATAGTGTGGTGTGCAATATAGTGAAATGGAAAGTGTAAAATTATACAGCAATGAATGCAGAATGGCACCGGCTATAGAGGACTACAAAACCCAGCAAAAGCACATTATACAGCGCAATGCAGAACACCGCCAGCTATAGAGGAATACAACAAATCCCAGCAATAGTACATAATAGCTGGCGGCATTCTGCATTGCGCTGTATAATGTACTATTGCTGGGTTTTGTAGTCCTCTATAGCTGGTGGTATTTAGCATTGTACCACTTTATAATGTACTATTGCTGGGATTTGTTGTAGTCCTCTATAGCTGGTGGTATTCCGCATTGCGCTGTATAATGTATTATTGCTGGGACTTGTAGTCCTCTATACAGCGCAATGCAGAATATCACCAGCTATAGAGGAGTACAACAAATCCCAGCAATACATTATACATACAGTGTATAATGCATTGCTGGTATTTGTATTCCTATGTATAATGTACAGTACAATGTACCATCAGCTATAGAGAAATACAAATCCCAGCAATACATTATAGAGCACCATGTGTGGGAAAGTGCAGGCTTACCTGAGCAGTCTTCCAGCAACTTGCTTCTGAGATTGGACCTGTCTATCAGCTGCTGTCATCCCCCCACCCCTGCTCCTCCTTACTACATCTCCCCGCGTGCCTTGCCGATCGTGGATGGGCAGGAAATGTGAGGCGGGGAGGAGGTGCGGCGTGTGGAGCGTGGATGCGAGCGGGTCTGGCAGCGGCGAGCGTGAGGTGGGGAGGAGGTGCGGCACACAGCGTGTAGAGCTGTGAACAGGGCCAACTGATCGGAAGCCGATTAATCGATTATTGAAAAAGTTGACAACTTTTTCAATAATCGATTATAATCGATTGTGTCGATTAGTTGTTGCAGCCCTACATTGCTGGCTTTCTTCTAAAAATGCTAGATGCTTGGCAGTCTCTAATTTTATTACCTTTGAGCCACTCACTCAGTACAAGCATATAGCAAATGTAACTCGGGAAAGAGTCACAATTCCTTATATCTGTACTACTTGGTCAGTGACTAAGAAAGTATTGAAGATAACATGTTGTGGGTGGCTATACATGCTGGGGTATTTTCCTGACACTCTTTAGAACTGAAGAAGTGGCTTAAATAAGCTACAAAATGTCTTCAACATTACAAATCATATCCAGTTATATATGAATAACTACTACTAGACTAACTTTACCATGATCTGGACAAATAAGAACCTTCAAAAAGCCTTATCATTAGTGTGACAGCCAAGCAACTAGCATTGTCACAAGGCTGAAAATAACTATTGTAAAGGCAAATAACATGTGCATTATTTCATTATGACTGAATGGAGATTATTATGTGAAAGAGGTACCAATATCATTCACAACTATATGTCAAAGTACCCATGCCAATACAAAAATTGAGAATATATAATTTATATAACATTGCTTACTGCCTGCTGCACTATAATAGTTTTCATACTAGTCTTATGGAGGCACCAAAATAACAACTGGTAGGTTTCTGCTACAGGATTATAAGAATGGAAACTCATGTGTAAAATATATCTTTCCCAACAAAATAATTTACATTTTAAAGGTCTTCTAATAATCTCCAGTAACATTTACATATTCATACATTAAATGTAATAGAAATATTTGCATAAACCAGTTATGGAACAGTATATAGTTTATTTTAGGGATGCAGCGATACTGATTCTGGTATCGGTGCTGAAACTGAGCATTTGGGTGAATACTTGTACTCACCCAAATGCTCCGATACTTACCCCCATACTAGAACTTCCGGTCAGAGAAAGATTCCCTGTGACCATCAGTGCTACGAGGGAGCATGGAGTCGGCTTCCTGGCCAATCAGGAAGCCAGTCAGCAGCTGATAACCCGCCTCCTGGCTTACTGAGTGGCTAGGAAGCTGGCTTTACGCTGCCTAGTGGCACTGCGAGGCAGCCTGGCTTCCTAACCAATCAGGAAGCCAGGCGGCGGGGCTTCCTGATTGGTCAGGAAGCCAGTCTGCCTCACAGTGTCTTCAGGGAGCGTGAAGCCGGTTTCCTAGTCATGACGTGCTGCCCGGCTTCCTGATTGACTAGGAAGCCAAGCTGCCTTCAATAGAACACCAGCTTCCCAGGAAATCAGGAAGCCAGGTCCACGCTACCACGGGATGCCGTTATCGGTATTCGGTATCAAGGAGTGCAGCAAAAACAATATCGGTACTCGATACCGAAAAACCGGTATCGGTGCATCCCGAGTTTATATTTAGTGGCCCCTTTAATGTCTAAATTGCAAGGTAGCCTCACTCTGGCCGTACATAGATTGTATAGATGAATGAACTCATAACCCATACATTTGGATCTGTGCAAGCTGCAGTCTCTCTAGTGCCCAGCCAATTAAACCTCTCCACTCCATTTCTTCAGATTTAGAATCCTTTGTTTCAGAAATCCATCCTTAAAAAACAAACATATGTCAAACACCAGTTTAAAGTGCACAGATCATGCATATTAAAAATATGACATTTTAGTCTCTACAATTGAGATACAAATGAACAGCAATGAGAAATAGCCTGTAATGCTTGCATTGCACCTGTATTGGTAAGAAGTCCAAAAGGGGACAGAATAGCCTACCAATACACAGCCTAATATGAGCAAGTGATGCCACTAAACTGTGACCATTTGTAATGGGGCCCTTATAGGAAAACCATTAGGGAGTCCTCTGTCTTTCTAATCTTCCCCATGCAACTTTAATCTCTATATCAAGAGTGAATTGCCTTTTAGATGGAGACTTTGGAAACAGGGGCCCCTTAATAGTTGTGTTGTGGGGGTGATTAGGAAGACAGAGGACTCCTTAATGGTTTTGGTGATACTGTGGTGTTACAGAATCCTAATTGCTAATCATTAGGGATGCACAGATACTAGTATCGGTACCGATACCGAGGATTTGGGCGAGTATCCATACTCGCCCAAATGCTCCGATACTTACCCTGATACCAGAACTTCCGGTCAGAGGGATATTTCTTCTAAACGGCAGGGCCACAAGGGAACATGGAGCCAGCTTTCTGGCCAATCAGGAAGCAGAGCGGAAGGTAATGACTCGCCACCGGGAAGCCGGCTCCATGCAGTTTGGCGGGCTCCATGCTGATTGGCTTGGAAGCCGGCTACACGGCCAATCAGCATTGAGCCAGCCAAACAGCTGACTCGATGCTGATTGGCTGGGAAGCTGCCTTCCCGGCCAATCAGCATGGAGTTGGCCAAACAGCATGGAGACGGCTTCCTGGGCAATCAAGAAGCTGGGCGGCAGGTAATGACACGCTAGCGGAAGTACCGATATCGGTACTCGGTATCGGCAAGTACCAAAAGATAAATATCGTACATGTACTCGATACCAAAAAAATGGTATTGGTTTCTAAATTACATATACATTAATGTTATTCAAATGTTATTCAAATGTTTTAGCCAAACACTACTCCAACCTGCAGAAATCATTGTGTACCTTGTATCTCCTAGTCTAAGCTCTGTTGTGTAAAGCACGACAAGAACTTACTATTAAGATGCAGATGTATATACTAGTTATTTGTAACATACATGATTATTATAATGGAGTTAGCATGTTCTCCCTATTTTGTGTGGGTTTCCTCTGGGTACTCATATTTCCTTCTACAGGCATTCTGGTAGGTTAATTGGCTACAGGCTAAATTGGTCCTAGAATGTGTATGTATGCATTTGGCATAGTGACCTTAGCTTGTAAGCTCCTAGAGGGCAGTGACTAATGTGGATGTACAGTATGTAAAGTGCTGCGTAAATTTTCGGTGCTATATAAATACCTGTAATAATTTAACTTCAATCATTCTTTTGTAACTGAAGACTCAGTTTTCTTACCTTTATCTTCACATACTCTTGAAGACATAGAGAAACTGATGGTGACTGGTACTCGTGCTGCAAAGCTCTGAGGAGCTACAAAGATAGAAAATAAATACGATTACCATACACAGCACTGAAAAAGTTATGACATAGACATCTGACATAGACTAAGGAGGCAGTAGATATAGATACATATCTTTTTTAAGATGTAAAAAGTAGTTTATCACACCATGAGGAAAATCACTGGGTTTAAACACATTTTGTCATATCACCGAAGTTCAACAAACAGTAGGCTCATACCTATATACCTGATTACCCATGCAATATATCTATGGATTGTCAGTCATGCTTTCAATAAGCATGTCCTGTATATGCTTTATTGTATAATTACTATTCTCCACGACATAAAACTGTCTCAATATAAATACAGTATGTCTCTGGCTTTAATATTTTAAGTTAGCAACACAGAAAAAGTATGCGTTTTAAGATTCCTAATCTTCTCTGACTTTTTTGATATGCATTCTAGTCTTCGGTCAATAACCTATCATATTGAAGCAAAACTCCTGTTCTGTTTCTGTCAACTCCATTTTTTAATAAAAAGAACTGAAACCAAATAAGTAAAATGCTCATCATATAAAGAAAGCAATCAGAATACAATAAAATGTTTTCTTTGTGATGACAAACTCACATCTGTTTCCCGTAGGCTTGGACTGTGCAAATTCTTGGCCTGTTTTCTCCTTGCTGTGCTCCAGAAGGTAGGCATTAGCTTTGTTTTTAATATTCTTTACATTGTCTACAGTCTCAGGAGGTGCGGTGCTGGCTCCTGGTGCTTTGTCACTCTCCTCGGAGGCCAGACTTGTATCTGCCGTCATCTTCTTGGAGGACTGACAACATGTCTTTGTATATACCGCACCCTCGATGAGCTCCTGCCAGCTATAGTTGAGCACATTCACCACACCCTGAGGAAAAATTATCTCATACTGAGAGAAAAAATGAAGTAGTTTCCCCAGCTCATATAACAGTGTGGGAGCAACATATTTATAATCATCGAAGGGGTTCATGAAGTGTTCATCATCGGTGATGACATGGTTGAGCTTCTGGTTACTACTTTCCACACTGTTCTTTGGTAAAGTAGAGCTGCTGATTTCTGGCAATACCGTATATTTTTCTTTGCGCATTTTTTCATCCCTGGGCAGTGCATTTTCCTTCCTCTCTGATTGAGCAGGACCCCCCTTTTTATTCCTGTTCAGGCTGACCATAAAGCAAGAAAACATTACAACATTACAGTATAGGCCAATAAAAATACCCATTTGAAGCATGGACAAATGCTATGTGCACTACAGTTAATGTTTAAATTCACAACATCTCACTCATTTCCAGCTGCCATGGTTCTTGGGTCAGACAATGCAGTAAATAACAAACATGGAGCTGTTCTTTGTGCCAACGACTTAAGCTGGGTATACACTGGTAGATTTTCAAACAAACTTTTATATGAAAAATCTTGTTAGACTGTTAGATAATGCCTTCAAATACTAGAGGAATGTCTGTGAAATGTTGTTTGATTTTAACATACAACTTTGGAATGAATTGAGTTACTTGAACAAAAACCATATTCACCATTAGATTTTTGTTTGTCTGAGAAAAGATTTCCATCCTGCTGCTTTTAGTTTTTTTCATCACCATGGCCGAAATTGATCATCAATTTGACCCCATTAACTACTAGAAAATCATAATGTTCTGAAAACACATTTTTGGGGATGAAAATCTACATCTGTATAGTCAGCTTTAGACTGACCATGCACGGGCTGATTTTTCAAGAGACAAAGATTAGATATAAATTTGACCAACTGAATGGTAACTTGAAATATTCAAGTTACAACTGATTGTTGAAGATTGACAGAAATGGAGGATATTGGTCAAAATTATTTTCCAACTTGCAGAATATATATTATCTCCAGGTATTCAACAATTCCAAATACTTCAAATACCTGCTCCTCCCACTGTATGCTGGCCAACTCCTACATTACTACAAGTTGTATGACTCAGCAGGAGTAACTAGAGCATGCAGCAGGGAGTGCAGGTATTCATCAGTCCAAAATGTTGAATACCTGCAGCTGCTGGGGAGCAGCAGAGCAGCGAAGTTTGGAGACACACACTGCTGGAAAGGTGAGTATATACAGTGTGTTCTTCTTTTAGAGGAGGGTCTTTGTTCAGATGTGACCCAAAGGTGATAGGATTACTTAAAGGATTTAAACTCGGTTTACTTTGCATAGGACTGCAAGTAAATACCTTACCCGTTAATGAAGTTGGCAAGCCGTGGATTAATGTTCAAGTACTTCATATCAGAAGGTAATTCTTCAGGCATCTTCTTGCTTCGCTTAACTGCTCTAGTTTTTAGCTAATACAAAGAAAAAGCCTTTTTTTCCACATTATAGGAAAGCATTTGGGAAACTGCAGATACCTACAACCCCCCTCTAGACCCAACTAGCTGTTAAATATATAGTATTAGAAAGGAAATTGTACCACGATTTCAGGAAAATGTTAGTATAATGGTGCATGAAGTATATGCACTTCATTTAATGATAACAGTTATCAGATTTTAATATGAACTAGACATGTGCGATTCGTTTCGTTACGAATCGAAATTCGGACGAATTTTCGGAAATTCGGACATTCGGATGTATCCGAATTCCGAATTACAGATATAACAAATGCAAACGGATCCAAATTTCCGTTTCCGAAATTCGGTAGCGGTAGTTCAAACGTTCGTTTCGTTCGTTGAAGAAAAACATTTTTCCCCCTCAAATGTCACTTTGCTGCAAACGAACGATGAACGAAACGAATAAGAAACGTAAACTAAACGAACGTGCGAACGAACTACCGCTAACGAATTTCGTCCGAATCCGAATTCCGAATCCGAATTGACTTTCACACCCGAATCCCGAAAAACAAAATAACACAAATCCGAATTTAAAACGAAACGAAACTAAGCAAATTTTTTGGCAGTGCACAGGTTTAATATGAACATTAGCAATGATCAATATTTCAATTGGCAAAAATGTATATCCTTCTGGCTGATGGTGCAGCAAATAGTTTTCAGTCCAATAACTATTTCTATATAGCAGTAGGGCACTTTTTGTTTGTTCAGCTCAGGTCAGGGCCTAGAAGAGTTTGATTTTGCTTTATCCTTACAGAGTCCTAACCAAACCCTAAAACTGGCCATACACATGGACATTTGATAGAGCATTAGAACCTTTCATGAAATTTGTTGTTGAAATCGTAATCGGAGGCTTAAAATGATGGCTTAATATACTGCAAGGAGGTGGGATCAAAATCAGGAAAAGTCTAATAGTTGTCAGCAAAATTTACGTTTAATTCCAAGTAGATGAATGCTACCTACCACTTACAGTTTCTATTTACACCATGCATTGATCTAAAGTGTTGGTGGTAGGTTGCCTTGATCCGTTTTAGTTGTATCTTTCTATTGGAAGCTGGTTAAAATTGCCATACGAGGCCAGCAATGAATCTAAACTACAGCCAAACAGCAACATTTCTATTACTGTCTATCCATCCCTGAGATTTACATAGCTGTGCCATACAGTAAAACTATGCCTGTGACTGGACAATAAAAGGAGTTGAGCTCATCTCTCTGCACTCTCTTTTTATCACCATGTTTTTTGAACTGCACTATACCTAATTGGCTCCATGTGTTGCTTCTTCCTCCCCCTATGTGAGCTCTGCTGTACAATCAACTGCAATATGTTGATACCAAGTCAACTAAGCGTATGTTGCATGTATTTAAAAAAATTAATGTCATGATGTAATAATGAATACAGAGCTGCATTAATCTGTTCCATTTATATCTTCCTGGAATGCAGCTTTAATTTTAGCCACTAACACTTTACATGCACCCTAACATTTAACTTATGGTCTTATCCCCCTACACCATTCGCCCCCTATCCACTTACCCAAACATTAACTACTGTCTCCAAACCTTTAAATTGGAAAATGTGAAATATAAACTTTCTTGTCAAATATGTTTCATTACCACTGGACCAATTTACTGTATGTTAAAATTGATCAAGGTTGTGAAACTTACCTGGTCATAGAAGTACACTGGTCCTATCCGCAGCATTGATGACATTATTTCTATTTTCTGGTATATTGGGGAACATTACAGTAAAAATACATTATTTTATTACTTTCACTGCTTAAATATTTCAGGCACTTTTTGCTAAAACCAACAGCTACTGATATCCTACATTACAAATAGAATCCAAACATTGGCATGACAGCCCTGGTGTCTACACCTTTAAAAACAAGGTTGCAATGCCAGCTCCCATATTTCTATCCTGACAGATTCATTTTAAAGCTGAAGACCAGCCAAAACCTTTTCTTTTTAATTTTGGATAGAAAGGAAGGTTTAGAACCTCTCTATTAGATTCTTATTGTTGTCTGTATCCTCATAGGGGACAATTGTCAGGGGGACACAAAATAAGGGTGAATCCAAGCTGATAGCTGTCACCAGAACAGGAACTGACGGGCGATCTTCCAGTAGGGGCACCTCTTCACGTGATAGCCCTCAAACGGGGGAATTCTCACTTAAGCAGAGAGTCCCTCTCCTTTTCTTTGTTGTGTCCAAAAAGTAAGTAAGAAAAAATGTCCCTCCCTAAGGCCTGGTTCACCCCTAAGCGTTTTACAGCGTGTTCCTACGCGCTGTAAAACGCTCAACATGTGAAAACCAATAATTGCCTATGGGCATGGTTCCCACCTGGGCGTTTTACAGTGCGTAGGAACGCGCTGTAAAACGCCCTGCGCCCAAAGAAGTACAGGAGCTTCTTTGGGGCGTATTTGCCGCACGTATCCATTAGGATACAGCCGGATAGCCCTCGGAAACCCGCCTCACTATGTTGCTGCAAGCACTATTTTGTTCGGACCGGACTGGACCGCAGGCATAATGTGCCTTGCGTTCCCGTGTGGCCGATCGCATTGCGGCCAGAGGATGTGGCTACGGTGCCATTCACTTCAATGGACCACCACGCCCCCTCCTGCCCCACAACATAGTGAGCCGGCCGCAATGTGATGCAGTGCGTTCTGGCCAGAATCTGGCCGGATTGCACTGTCTCTGGTGTGAACGAGGGCAGAATGTTCATTAGCATCACAAGTTGTTTACAAACATAACCATTAGAGTCTATTTGATAAACTGTAGACAGCAATGTACATGTACATGTTATTTTTATAACATGTCAGATCACACATGTATGTATATCAATAACAAATACATGACTACATAAATTCAGATTGTTTTTGCTACAACAAGTAAATCACTTAAAACATGTTGGTGCCACTTGGTGTGTATATGTTTAGAATGTTAAACCCCCACTATGCAGCAACAAGGGTATATGTAAACTCAATGGCAAAAAAGTTTTAAAAAACACATAATTTTATGACTAAATAGGGCACATTAAAAAAATTAGAACTGATAACACATTTTTAATATTTTGCAGCATGCAATACATTTGACATTGTCAGCTTGCTTACTTAATTGATGTGTCACAATAGCACTTACGGGAACTAATAAAAACTGTCATAAAATCTATAACTAACACAATGGAGGGAACTTACCAAAACTGGAGCAGACAGAATCTGGAGCAGCTGCTTATAGTAACCAATCAGCTTCTCTCTTCAGTTTGTTCATTTACGTTTTTGAAATGATAGAACCTGATTGGTTACTATGGGCAATTGCTCCAGATTCTGCCTGCTCCAGTTTTGATATATTCCCCTCAGTGTGTATGTTATCAAGTTACAAACAACAGCAAAAAGAAAAAAGAGAGCTAAATAAAGAAAAGAGAGAGAAAGAAGACATTTATAATAAGAGACATTTTATTTGCTCTTAAAAAAAACAATGAATACTTAAAAACCGATAAAATACAGAACTTACATTGGGAAAATGGGTTTGTTACAAGTTGAAGAGGTGAGTGTTCACTGGGGAGAGCAGTCCTGTGTTCAGTGTTGTGCACTGTAGAGTTTGAAGGATGGTTGCCTAGTTACCATACGCATTCTTTAGCTGTGGATTTCGTTTCTGCTTTCCATGCAAAGGGCTGTTTTCAAGAGCTACTCTAATAGTGACATCATGAGGTTTCCCTTATATTACAGATGATTAGGAAAGAAGATTTCCCCTAACATTTTCAGTGACAAAGTAGATACATACTTTTAAAGTAGTAATAAAACTCTCAATAATTAATTTTATATTTTGCCCAAGCATTTACAGTCACCATGTTTCCAAATAGCTCCAACTATCTTATCTCAGCTTCCCTGAACTTCCTGTCCACTATTAGATCACAAGAGTGCACAGTCTCCAGCAGCCATCCATCTACTAGCTTGGAGAAGGGAGGAGTGGAGTTTTTTGCTTTGCTGTGCCTGTATGGTTGTGGAGACACACACAGCTTACGAGTACAAACAAAGGTGGTTCCATAAGACCCTGCAAGAGAAAGGAGCCGCCCAAAAACAGGATATCAAGGCCAGTGCTCAGGGGACCAGCTGATTCTACATGAAACTAAAACTTTTAAACATCAAGGAGCAGCATCCATTGTAAGTGATTTTATCAGCTTTTAAAATACCTTAAAACATTTGACTTTAATATCACTTTAAGCACATATATGACCAGTAAAGCTGGCCATACACCTTACAATTATCTGCAGATTTTCTGTGGTCAGATGGAAAAGGTGCAACAGATTCCTCCATCTACACTTATGTCCACCTGGGACAATCTGTTGCACTTTTTCCATCTGACCACAGAAAATCTGCAGATAATTGTAAGGTGTATGGGCAGCTTAAGTATGTTCACACTGCACTCACAGCTCAGTGTACAATCCTGGCATCTACAAGGTGGGCTGAACGGAAGAAATTGACCAGATTCCTCCATCAACACAAACAGTGATCGAGGAAACGCCTGCTTGCATTGTATTGTCAGAATACCCGATCAGAGCGGGCAGCTCATTGGCTGCCGGCTCTGTTCGTACGAAGATTTTCCAGCTGGCTCCTTCCATCAGCTGATCGAGGAATGCCAGCTGGAAGGGAGCCGACAGCCCCGTACACTGGCCGAATTTCGTCCGGTACATTAAAAACCGCCAAAATTCAGCCAGTGTATGGACACCATTAATATTTTTATTCAACTTTTTTTGTCCTGTCATCGAACCCCTGTTCTATTTCTGCTCGACGACTCCATCATGCACAGATCAATGTAATTTTCGCATATCGTTTGTTAGCTATACTAGCTGGCCGAATGTTGTCAAGCGACCGATCGGATTTTCATTTGCACATGTGCAGTGCTGTTGCGATTTTTGTTGTACAAAAGCGACATTAATCCATCGACTTCCGTCAGTTTCGATGAGTTTTCTAGTCTGCCCGTTCAACCAAATGTGGCCAGTTGTACAGTAATTGCGATCGCGCACTTCCCATCAACTGGCCAATTATGGCACGATAATCACAAGGTGTATGGGCACCTTTAACCACCTGCTGTCCGGTTGTTGTAATTAAACGGCCGTACATCGGCTTCTTGAGAGCGGGTGGGCGTCTTTAGACGTCCCATCCCGTCTCGCTCGTGTTTGCCACTAGGCGGCGGGCTCGAGCGGGAAACCGGCTTTGAATGTAAACAGCCAGCGTTGGCTGTTTACATACAAGCGTTCAGGCGTCTGTAGAGATGCCCAATCGCTTGCAATATGCGGTCTGGTGTGCGTCCCCTCCGTCGCTGTCGCCACCGGCGATCCCGGGCTCCGCTGTTCCCGGTGTGAGCCCGGGACCAGCACAGCAGCTCTGCGGCCGGAGATCAAACGGAGCTCAGTACACGAGCTCCGTTTGATCTCCTCTCCTCTTCTGAATGCAGGCAGTGATGTGTATTACATCACTGCCTGCATTCAGTGTCACTCTTCAATACAGAAACCGGAGAGAACCTGGTGAAGCATGTCCCTGCTTTATCAGTTTCTCTGGGGGTCCCTAGGTGATATTAGGGGTCTTAAAGACCCCTGATGTCTCCATAAAGAGGACCTGTCACTGCAAATTGGCTATCACATAGGGAGCTTGTTTTCTATGTAATAGCAATAAAGTTGAGTGGAAAAAAAAAAGGTTTAAAAAAATGTAAGTTACAAAAAAAAATAAAAAAAAATAAAAATGACATATCAAAGCAATAATAAAAAAAATGAAAGTCCCCCACCCCCACATGCACATGCAAACATGCGTCAAGCCCGCCTACCCGCGAAAACAACGATTACATCCATTGCGCCGCACATGTTACATATCGCCGCGAACGTCGGAATGAGAGCAATAATTCTAGGGTCATCAATCACTGATAACACTAAACTAATGAGCGGTAAAAGCTTTTAAAGCATCAGCTATGGTCAATTTTGAGTATGGTAGTTTTTTTGCGATTGAACGGATGCGCGCAATTTTAAAGCTTGACATGTTTGGTGTCTATTTACCCGACGTGACCCCATCTTTTATATTTTACCAAAAAATTTGTTTTATAACATAACGTAGGGAGAACAGGTTTTTTTTCAAAATTTTCGGTACTTTTTTCATTATATAGTAAAAAAAAAAAAATCCGTAGTGGTGATTAAATACCACCAAAAGAAAGCTTTATGTGTCCCCAAAAAAATTGTATAAAATTAATTTCAGTACAGCGTTGCATGACGCAATAAATGTCAGTCAAAGTACCGCAACGCTGAATACTGAAAAATGGCCTGGACAGGAAGGGGGTATAAACAGCCCCGGTCAGCAAGTGGTTAAAGAGTATGCGGCATCACTAACGTATTTAACACCCAGGCCAGACCATTGTTTCCACCCACCTGCTGTATATGGCATTATTTATTGCAGTAATAATGTTAAAATGTAATAATATTAATAAAAGAATCACAGAGGGTGAAAATATTGGTGTCCGCTATCATCAGTTGTTATTGTAGATGTAAGTCGCTACACTGGTGGTCAATTGAAAATGACCCCCTTGCATTGGTGGTCAGAGTAAGTGGAAGGTCAATCTACCATTGTTCACTGCCCAATGAACCCCTAACAACCTCAGGAGGAACCCTGGTTGAGAAAGGCTCCCCTAATAAATTCAAAACGAAAAACCCAGTCACACCATATCCAGTGCGTTCCGGCGCAGCGCGGTTTCAGCCCGGACTGCATAGATCAAGCCGTGCCGCATTCTGTGGTGGGAGGGGGTGTAGTGGTGCCATTCATGTCAATTGCACCACAGACACCCCCCCACCCCCCCCCCCCCCACCTGCAGTGCGATCACCTGCACCGAAACGCGTGGTAATGGAATGCTCTGCGTTCTGGTGCAGTCCAATTGGAATAAATAGTGCATGCCGTGCAGTTTCACATTGGATTTATGTACAGACCTGGAAGAAATACACAAATCACACCAAGTAAAAATACCCAGATCTCTTGTATTTAGACAATATTTGCTTGTCTCTGAGGTAAGTTTAAAAAAAAAGATTTGGCTTTAGATATACTTTATGTGCTCATCCCTGTGCTTTATTTCCTCAGTGATGTGTCCATTGCCTAAATATTGTGTATTAAAAGATGTCCCTCTGTCCCATTTTAGAAGGAAATAGGAAGTATTCTTCATATAAATAGTATATGGTACAGTCTGTGTACACAGGAAGGGTTCATATGTCTTTCACTACAATCAAGGTGTAAACAGCTCCATGTCTACCTCGCTGCATGAGAGCTGCAACACGCATGCGTCCACAACATGCTGGTCAGGGCCGACAGCTCAGTCCTCCACCATCCCAGCATGCACCTGTGCGCTCCTCCCACCACTCTCACAAGTCTTACAGTTTGGTGGCTCGCTGCCTTCCCCTCTCTCTGGTAAGATGGCGGGCGTTGAGGTGCAACGAGAGAGCCCCAGGGTGGAAGAGGAAGACGGTGAGCGCCATGTGAACGGGGAGCTGGAGGAGGACGAGCTGACGGCTGTAGGGGACAGTGCGGCGGGGAAGAAGAAGAGGAAGAAAAAGAAGAAGACCAAAGCGGGTGAGAGGAGGAGGGGAGGCCCCGGGTGTACACATGGAAAGGTGCTCGGGGTGGGAGCCGTGTGCCCCTGTGTAGGACGTCCTCGGCCTACTGTCTTAATGGGTCATGTACAGCTCCAGACGTGTGTACACAGCTGTATGAAGAGGGTCATGGACCTGGCAGCCTTCTCCAGATATTAAATGACTATTTAATTTACTCAGTGACTCCTGTCATCACCCCATGCATGTCAATATAGGTCCATGTACTCTCATAAGTCACTGTGCATTCAATCTTCTCATGCATGGTGCTAAAACCTGACCTTAAAGTATAGTATACATGGGTACATTTTCATGCGTACGCTTGTATGAAAAATCTCATCGTAACGTCTTAGCGATTTGGCTTTCAAAATTGTTTTGTTTTTCGTTTTTATTTAACATTCGATTTTTGGGAAAAATGGAAATAGAATTTCGTTTGATTGCGAAAAATGTTCCAACATGCTCCTTCAAAGTTTTTTGTCACTGCGGGACAAAATCGATCATCTAACCGCATCAACGATTAGAAAGAGCGTTCCAAAATAGATTTCGTTGTTTGACATTCTAACCGTTTATACCTGTGTATGTAGGTGTTATGTATGCTGACACTTGGTGGCGTATGACATAAAAAAAATCAGGCATACTACCCTGCCTATTATTTAACTGGACCTCGTTGTCTATAGTGCAGCAGTTTCCAATTTAAATACATTTTGAACACCCATTGAGCGCAGATTTAAAACTAATACATATTACCCTGCCTGGGTGCCACAGCCGCCCATGGAAACGCGCTGGTATGTGTAAGCATGTGCATCCATGTAGGGCTGCAGGTAATGATTATTTTTATAAACGATTAGTTGCCCGATTATTTTGTCAATTCATCAACTGGTTGCATTAAAAAAAATCTTTCACCAACTAATCGATAATGGAATAGTTGCAATCTATTCTCATAATCGGTTAGTTGTTGCAGCCCTACATCCATGTACAGTCCTAACCACAGACATTTGGGGTTGAATGTGTGTGTGTGCCATACAGGCATACAGTGTGAGTACCATACAGGCATACAGTTTCAGCTTCTAATTGATTGCTACGGGTGGCTGTACGCAGTAGCTGTTTCAACAAGGTGGGGGACATATGACCAATTTTTCATGATATGGCCCTAGGCGCCCATGTGCATGAAGCCCTTACCACATCTGACACCCCGGGGGGTTGTCGGAGGCTGTGCTTGTGCACCACAGCTGCTCCACCTTCCCAACCTGAGAACAACAAAGTTCCGGGGAAGCCTTGCACAGTCTGAAAAGTGTCATTGTAGATCATGCAAAGCTTGCCATTAGTTTAGTTCAAAAGCTGATTGGGGTTTTTGCCTTCCACTCTGCTGCCCAGCAGGTTTTAACCCTTCCCAGTCCAAAACGAAAAAGTTTTTACTGTAATTTTTAGTTTATCATGAGAATTGAATTATGAAACCGTTAGCCATTGCTAATATGTCATTCAAGGTGCCGGCCCTTTCTGTTTGTATTGTTTTACTCTAGTGGGCCCCTGATCTGGAGTAAGCAGACAGCCATTGAGATCTGAAAAGTCAGCGCATGCATGTTTCCCCAGATAACAGTACAGTGAAGATGGCATTCCTGAAGCTGAAACTAACTTGCAAGCTCCAGTTGTTTTCACTTGTCTGGCATAAGGGCAGGTTCACACCATTTTCCGGACCAGATCTGGGTGTGGAAAATGGTGTGAACCTGCCAGCAGTTCCAGTGCATTCCAGACCAGACAAAATAGGACAAGCAGTATTTTTCTGGTCTGGAACGCACTGCGCTGGTGTGAACAGAGGCCAGAAATAGCATAGGGATGCATTTTGGCTCCGGAAACAATCTGGTCTGGAGATCTGGATGTGGTGTGAATGGGCCCTAAAGCAGAGCATAGATGTGTGGTGCTTGGATGTGCAAGCTGACAAAGTAAAACTGAAGCCAATTTTGTTTTGTATTTTGGATAAGGGAGGGGTTTTAATCTGCAAAGGTTAAATGTTCATTAACTCCAGGGTGGGAGAAGAAGAGGCTATATTACTTACCATTTTCCTGGCACAAGCTGTTGGCTGTCTCTTGATGTCATCACATACTGTGTGAGTGCAACAGATTCCTCATCTACGCTAAACTGTGTGGATGGAGGAATCTCCCACTGGGCCAAGCTTCAGTATCTTGCTAGTCGGCCCCGCTGGCTCTCAAAATACCTGAGCAATGGCTGCATCCAATCGGATTGTTCAGGTATTTTGACAGCCAGCGGGGCCGACTAGCAAGATACTGAAGCTTGGCCCAGTGAGATTCCTCCATCCACATAGTTTAGCGTAGATGGAGGAATCTGTTGCACTTTTTCCATCTGACCATAGAAAATCTGCAGTTAGGCCCCATTCACACTTAGCGTCATGAAAATCACGCGATTTTGAGCGATATTGCGCGACGAGCGTTATTGAGCGACGTATCGCGTGACTTTTTCCTATTGGGCTGTATGCAATCAGGAGCAAAATCGCTCGAAAAAAGGGTCCTGTAGGAGCGACAAGCTACCAGCGACGAGCTACAAGCGATATTGAGCGACGAGATGTGAACAGCTCCATTGAAATGGATTGGAGGAGCTACATAGAGCGATATCGCGTGGAAATATGAGCGATATCGCTGCAGAAATCGCCCGATAAATCGCTCAGTGTGAATGGGGCCATAATTGTAAGGTGTATGATCAGCTTTAGACTTAACAAGTACCATTGCAGTGTGGAGGGGCCTCATTGCAAAGTTTTTTTGTTTTTTTCTTGTGCCTGGAGTTGGGATTTAATGTGACATGGCCCTGACTTCACATGAGAACGGTCAGCCAGAGGTATCTGCTGTACCACCATTAGATGTAATGATCATCATCTAGTCTTTCTGATAATCTTCATATAGTCAGTCCACACACTGTTCACAGTTTGTGTGGTGAACAAGTGAACCTCATAGGGACTGCTTACCCTATCCTAAACTCGGGTCTGGCTTTGAGTCATGGCCAGGGAACTGTGACATATTTTTAGAGGAGCGTCCCTTGGAAACAGGCAATTTAGTGCAATTAGCGTCTCCACCTATCTGTTTGTTCTGTCTTCATACTATGGACTTGATGCCTATAATGCTTGTAAACTCAGCAGTAATATAATTATTACTCAGCAAGATTTTCTAGATAGAGGTAACAATTAGTAAAGGAAAAACTGCATGTGATGCTTCACAATAACTGGTACTAATATTGTATCGGTGTCACCTAGGTAATGATGCAAATTAATCCCCCCTGGGCAAGTGGGGCACATTTGTTTGTCATAGGGAATTTATAAAAATTATGACTTGAACCTTTACAAGGACAGTTGGATCAGTTCTACTCTAATTTTCGGGTCAAGTCATTGCTAATGTTGTCTCCATGGTTTTGGGGTTTTTTAATTGCCTTTCATATACTGTGTGACAAGTGTTTTTAATATAAATGTGATTTCATTATTAATGCATATGTTTTTAATAGTCCCCTATGAATATACTAAGGGGCCCTAATAGAGGTGAATTTCAGTCAGCATTAGTAATCCTGCTCATATAGAAGCTTTCTAAACTACGCTTGGCCTGGCGACCCAAGACATTTACAGATTTACTGGCTGCATTGTAGTCTGATCTCTGATCCTTTACAATACAGATAGCATTGGTTTAGAGTAAAATTTTGAGTTTAGCCAACTTCACTAAACTGGCAATCCTCTGAAGTCCTGCCATGCTTATATTTGGCCTGCAAGCAGAGATGACATAAATACTGTTCATAAATATTGGCCTGTCCTAAACACAGCTGAGCTACCCAACTTAAACACCATGAATAGATCTGGTTTACTTTAATAACCGTTAATACTTCTGTTCTTATATTTTAGGACAAGAACCTGAAAAAGGAGGAGAAGCCGCAGCCCAGATTTTAGATGATGTGACAAAACAACTAGAGAAACAAGCACTTGAAAACAAAGATAAGGATGATGAGGAAGAAGGTTTGTGCATCTTGTATTATCTGAAGGTCTACATTTTAAGGAGATGAAAATGTCAGTCGGACAACCTAGTAGGTTCTGCTTTTATACCAAATCAATCCGCACAGCTTGAATGCATTTACAGCAATACATTTTAGCAAACAAAGTTCTTTAACCCCTTCATGACTGAGCTTGTTTTTAGTTTCTGTTTAGTTCAGTAAATGACTGACACACTTTTGAAATTTTTGCTGTGTGATTCTTCCACGCCAGTAATATACTGTCTTACAAAGGGCACCCATACATATTATATATTGTTTTTTAGAGGACAGATAGGTACACATGTGATATAAATTTATAGTCCTAACTCCTCACGTGGAACAAATAAAATATAAAAAAAGAGGAAAAAACGTAAAGAAAACACTTTTTTTTTTCCTCCAGTTTTGATTTGCAGTATTTTTTAGAAAAACAGCACAACTAAAAAATGAATTAAATACATTCATTGTTTTTGTCCTTTATTTGGAAACGCCTCACATTCCTAGGATTTTAGAAATGTTTCTGTACTTCTCAGCCTAAAACTAAAACCTAACATTTTAATCTTTTTTTCTCAAAGTGGTCACCTGGCATAGACTGTCACTAAGTGTCACACTTAGTGACAGCAACATACTTGGAACATCACTGTCATGAGGGGGTTAAAAATAAATAACCCCTTAGGGTGAAAAACAGATCTGCAGCTCAGCTGCAGATTTTTAATTGTAAGGGATTAATTTTTATATTAATGATAGTATAAAAATATATTTAAATACATCATTTTTTATTTGTTACATTTATTTTTTTGCACTTTATTTAATTTTTACACTTTTTTCACTATTTAAAAAAAAATGTTTTACATTTTTATTTTGTTTAATTATATCAAGCAGTCATTGTGAATTAATTTCACTATTACTGCTTGATAATTTAATACATTTTTGGTTATTAGGCTGTTTCAAACTTAAGAACAGCCAATAATGACCTTAGTGACACTGATCCTGCAGCCATTCAGGATCAGATGTCACTAAAGGTTTTCCGATCGTTCCCACAATGACAGAAACCTGCAACATTTTTTCAGCAATAGAAACATGTAGCTTATGTTTCTATTGCTGAAAGTTTAGGGAAAAAAAGCCGGTATACATTGGGATTTCCTGATCTATACCAGCTGTCAGAGTGATGGCAAGAGCTGCAAATGCCGCTCTGCTCTCACTGTCAAACACCCGGTTCCTGAAAGGGATCGAGTGTCTGAAAAAGCTTAACTCATTCATTAATGGATGCCTCAATACTGATGCATTCATTAATTAATGATTCCCAGCAGCTACCAGCATTACAGAGCCCCAAATAACTGGTCACTTTCAGTGTACGTGAGCAGTAATTTGGGCACTTCGTGGCGGGACGTAAAGTGTACGTCTCCCGTCACAAAGGGGTTAAAGTTATTTAAATTGCAGCTATTTCTCCATTGTTCATCGAAGGACACAAGAATTCAGAAACAGCTGGGTTATACTGCTGCCTAAAAGAGGTTGGGACACTAACAGAGTAGTTGGAAGCCACCCCTCATTTACCACGCCTCTACCCAGCATGTCTCAATGTTTTGCTAGGTTTTTAGGTGGTTGCATGCCTTTTTTCTCAGCTCTGCTGAGAAATGTCTATTTTTTTCAACGACTTCTTTGCTTTGTGGCATTTTTCTTGGTGATTCAGTGAAGAGCTGTACACCACTGCCTGAGCTGGTCTTGATATAGCGGCTATCTGGAACAGCATTTCCTTAGCACTAGCTTTGCAGTCTGTACCTAGACCACACTGGACTAGACATGCAGGGCTAGCATGGAATGTGTTCTTTGGGCACAGGGTTCTGCATTGTGGCGCTTTCCAGAGCTTTGTGCACTGTTAGCTAAAGAGCGCTATTCCTGGTGCAAGGCCGTGGCAGAGCTACAAATGTGAACTTGTCTCTGAAGACTCACTTGGTGAGTAAGGTCGATCAGGCTGAAGCATTGGGAGCTATTTCACTGTTTGCACTGCTGGGCGCCTTTTTCAAATTTCTTGCCTCCATTGGTTTTACCGTGGTAAGTGTTAAAGCTGAAGGATTGATCGCTAACCTCATCTGCTAGTTTGGAGTTCTACGTGCACTCAGTGCTCTTTCCCAAATACAGTGATTTGATCACTTTCAACTGCCTAAAACCCTAGTCGGCACCAGGTGCCCAGGTTCTTAAGTACGTGAGGCCTTGCCTTACTTTGGGTCTAGTTGCTACCGCTACGCGGTGCAACATGTCTTCCTAAAAACTGCCAGGACATTACTTCTGCCACGGTGACCTTAGCCCATACACTTCTGGGGTCGATGTTTTAATATCATTTGAGTCTCCTCTTTCAGGCATGGCCGAAGCCTTCTCCACAAGGACCTCTGTTTTTCGCTCTGGACTTTGTACTCAGTTACTGGAGCGCTCTGCCTGCAGAGGCTCTGTGTACTCTGGCACTGTCTCCAGCAGTGTCTATCTCTGACCCTCCTGAGCCTGAAATCAGGCCCATCCTGTAGCATGTGTTACTATTAGTTTCCAATTCCCAGCAGTCCTTTTTTTGTTTTTTTGTTATGCTAGTCTTCTGCAGTTGACTGGGGGCTTGTGGGTACATCACGTGCACCTTACCTTAGCCAAGCCCTCTTCAGGGTTGAGACCCCTGGGCCCATTACCTGTCTCAATGGTCTTTTGGGCTATCCTTTTGGAATCTTGCATTGTGAGGCTTCTCACTTTTCTTTGGATATCTCTTGCGCGCGTATTGTGTGGCTATGCATCCTCATTCTTTTCTGATATTCTTCCCTCCATGATTCCAAGGTTTGGGATCGTAAAGCTTGAGTCTCATTTTATAGAACAGCTGGTCTGCTTTTGTGGCCCTGTCTTGTCCATGGTTCTGTCTGGGGACCGTTTGTTGACTGCTAGTGTGAGCTCAGTGCCCCTTTGGGTGGAGCCATTCAACCATTGGGTGGTCTCTTTTGTATGGGTTAGGGCAGCGGTGGCGAACCTATGGCACGCGTGCCAGGGAGGGCACGCGGGGCCCTCTCTGCTGGCACGCGAGCCCAGGTTCAAGGACCACCAATTGAAATAGATCCGACCGACCCGGATCGCCTCAGTACGCGATCCAGGCCAGTCACAATCAGGCAGCGGCGGCCTCTATAAATGTTTGATTATGCGTGTTTCCCTATTTTGCCTAAGGCCCCATTCACACTGAGCGGAAAATCCCGCGATTTCCGCCGCGATGTCGTGCATTTTTGCCGTGCGATATCGCGAGAAGTTGCCGGCTAATTCAATGGAGCTGTTCTAATGTACAGCTCCATGTCGCGGTAGCAGGACCCTTTTTCACCCGGGTGTCGCACGATTTTTCTATTTTTGAATGCAGCCCGCCGGTGACGGTCACGCGACCGTCGCTGGAACGTCGCCCCCCAAATAGTCGCGCTATCCCGTGCGAATCCGCTTGTAAGGTATGTCGCTTGGTGTGAATGGGGCCTGAGGCAGTGATGTTGAATGTTTCTTAAACCCGAACTGCAATACAGTACTAAACTTATTTTCAGCGCTGGCACTTTGAGGTAAATAAATTGATTTTGCGTCGCAGTTTGGGCACTCGGGTTCAAAAAGGTTCGCCATCCCTGGGTTAGGGTATTGATACTCTGCAGCCTTCTATTCTTGTTGGCAGACTCCCCTGCCTTGCAAGGAAAGTCATCTGGTTCAGATTTGGCTTTACATGCTCCTGGTTGCAGATGGTTCCTGGTCCCTTCTCTGTTCTCTCAGTGGCTGTTGCCACCCCTTAGCTGGACTGCTTTTGGATGTCCCAACTGTTTCTGAATTCCTGTGTGGAGTGGACGGTGGAGAAAATAAGATACCATAAAATAGATTTCTTCAAGTCCATTGATCGAAACAGGTTGTGCCCCTTGGTGTTTTTTTAATACTGGATCAATGTACTGTTTACAAAACTGAGGCACGCCGGGTAGAGAAGGGGTTATACAATGGCTGTCTTTCTTTTGTTTGCCCGTGTCCCAACCTCTTGTACGTGGCAGTATAACCCAATGGTGAAACAGCTGCAATTTAAATAGCTTTTGAAGAATGGATTTTACAGTAAGTAGAACTTTTATTTTATTCCTCACTCCCTTAACCTAACTACATTTATACAGTACCAATAGGAATTGTATGCAGACAGGAATTTAAGTGTCTTGGACTTTCTAGTGACACCTGTCAAACCATTAGCTTGTGCTATGTTGTTTGTTTATAAGCTAGGCCTAATTTTTATACTAAATCCAAGTATGTTCGAATTCTTTTTCTATGTTAAGATGGTGATGGTAAAGGTGATGGAGCAGCAGGGAAGAAGAAGAAGAAGAAGAAGAAGAAAGGGGGTAAGTTTGTCTTAAATCTAAAATTAATAACCAAAATCTCATAAATACTTTAAAAGGTGTTCACCGTTTTTAATCTGCAGTATTCATTAAAATAACTTTTTATTCTGCCATAAAGTTCCTTATTCAGACACTGTGATGGGTTGAAAAAAGTATTCCAATTGTTTCACCATGTTACCTTTACCCCTGGTGAAAGACTGTAGGTGGCTGTGCCAACACACATTGTGCAGGCATGGTAAACCATTGTGCCCATTAATGTGGAGCCAGTGCTGGTATGCATGCATGTTCACAGGAAGTGGTTGAAATAGGTTGGAGGAGATCAGCAGTCATGAGTTGGTTTACATTTTCTCTCCCGACTGCCAGCTTTCTTGTAGAAGTTATGCAGTTAGCTTTACTGAACACCACCACCACCTTTCCCTACCTGCCATGTGTCCCAGGCGTACCTGTTGCCCTTGTGTGTTTTTTTTTTATTTTTTATTTTTTTTACTTAAAATCTATTTCAATGAACAGTAACGCAATTCCTGTATGGTCATATCTGCTTTTACAAAATATATAATATTTCAAGGGTTTTGTGTAATCTTGAGGTCTATTATGTGTTTTATCATATGTACATCAAAAGAAAACAGCTTCAAAAGGCATTTAATAGGCATTGTAAAATTGCTTTTCAGACTTCAATCCTTTTTAGTTCAAATAAACTTTTATACGTTTTAGAAAAACACTCTAGAAAGGAAACCGCGCAAAGTTCAGCAGCAAAACTGTTTCTAAAAGGTTTGACATAAAAGGTTGCTGTTGAAATGAGATGGAAAAACATAGCTAAAGGAGAATTATGAGGCGAGTGATTTTTCACTCAGCCTCATAATCTGAGCCGACCTGTGACAATGAAACTGTCACTCACGGCTCCCTGCAGGGATTCCCCCCCCGTCCGATCCTCCAGTGCTGACTGGCGGAACGGACGGCGCGGTTACAGCTGGCTCTGCCTCTAGGTAGGCAGAGCCAGCTGTCACTCACACAGCTGGGTGGATCCAGAAAGAATTGTCGGAATCTGTTCCGGCCGCGGCTGTAGCTCGTGGTATACTGAGCCTAGGGTGATGTGAGGACGCTAGTTTGTGTCCTCCCGTTACCCTCAGGAATGGGAGTGCAGGCTTCTGAGATAGGGCCTGTCTAAAAGCTGCTGTCATCCCCCCACGCCTGCTCCTCCTTACTTCTTCTCCCCGCGTCCCTGTGCCGATCGTGGATTTGGGCGGGCGGTGAGCGTGAGGCAGGGAGGAGGTGGAGCGTGGATGCAGGTGGCGGGTCTGGCAGCGGCGAGCGTGAGGTGGGGAGGAGGTGCGGCGCGCAGTGTGTGTGGAGCCGTGAACAGGGCCAACCAATCGGAAGCCGATTGATGATTGAAAAAGTTGACAGCGTTTTCAATAATCGATTATGTTGATTAGTTGTTGCAGCCCTAATGGATTTTATCAGCTTATGTGTGGCCTTAATTTTTGCACACATTTAGAAACAAAACGGGAATTATTAATTCTCTGCTGACCTGGCAGAAGAGGATGAATTAGAGCAGCTTTATAAGTAGGCAGAATCGTATTTTGGTATTAAAAAAAATCGCAAATGATTAATTACATGGTTTGATAGGTGTGCTCAATATCTTGTGATTTTCTTGCAGCCAAATCTCAAACAGATCCACCTTCTGTTCCTATTTGTGAACTGTTTCCAAGTGGAGCTTTCCCAAAAGGACAGGAGTGCGAGTATCCAGCATCCCAGGATGGGTATGTAGACGAGAGCATGGAAGAATCTGACCTTTTATACACAATAGTTTAGGGTTCTTAAAATGCACCTGTCAAGTGATATAAAATCTCATTTTATTTTTAAAGTGGAAGTGCAGCCAGTGCATTTTCAATGTAGTTTGAATGTAGTAATTGAAGTTTGTTTGCACATCTCTATTGATTTGCACATGTTTGCCTCTTATGTATTTTTATGGTATTTAATATCTATTGGTTTTAATAATAAGCACAGTTTTGATAACCTGAGACGTAACTTTTCCCCATTCTATACAAAACAAAAAATTTAGCTGCAGTGAGACTTTAACCTTTTCATTGCTGAGCCCTTTTTACATGTTTTGCACAATTTAGCCCCGAAGACCCCCCCCACATTATATATTTGAAAGCAGAGACCCAGTAGAATCAAATTGAGGTTGCAATTGTTATGCCTTATGATGTTTGTGTACCTGTTTATCAAATCAAAACTTGGAGTAAAAAATGTTTGAGTGCACATAAAAACAATATAATCAATCTTTTTGTAAAATATAAAATATGATCTTGCATTGAGTAAATGGATACCAAATATGTCAAGGCTAAAAACTGCATGGGCCTGTGACGCCAAAAACGACAGTACTTAAAAGTATCCATAGTCCACGCTCTAAATTCGATGTGCTGTAAGGGCTTTTAAAATACTTTTGAATGATTGCCCAAGCATTATTGCTTTAATTCCAGCAATGCGCTGCAATAGCTAATGTGTGGCGCACTTGTTGCTTTTGTACGCAAACGCATACAATGCATGTTTGTGTTGTGTGTAACAAGGGGGCTGATAAGTGCAGGTGACAGGTTCCCTTTTAAGGAGACATCAGGGGTCTATTTGACTGCTAACGTCACCTCTGTACTCCATTAAAACAGATTGTGCCCCATTAGCTTCTTCCCCAGCTACAGAGGTCAGGGAATTACTCTGAAACTGTAAGTGAGTGATATATGGGTTTATAGCAGCCAGGGAAGATCACTGACGAGGTAGACATCATGGATATCCTGTGCACCCAGGAGGGACTGGGAGGGAATGGTGCACATGGAAGTGTTCAGGCAGCTTTATAACCAGCTGAATCACTTCAGTAGAACAAGAGTGAGCTGAGGGAATGTAAACAAACTACCAGTTCTAGCTACCAACCCAGGATATGTTGGTGGCAGCAAAAAGGTTAAATGTTTGTGGTCTGTCACCGAACCATTCTGCCTTTTGTGTTTCTGATAAAGATAAAACCATTTCATGTAATTTTCTAGGTTTAAGTTTGTCATCGTGAATATATTTGCATATGTTACAGGCGTTCTGCTGCTTGGAGGACAACCAGTGAAGAGAAGAAAGCTTTGGACCAGGCCAGTGAGGAAATATGGCTTGATTTTAGACAAGCTGCTGAAGCTCATAGACAAGTGAGAAAGTATGTTACGAGCTGGCTAAAGCCAGGAATGACCATGATTGAAATCTGGTAAGTCGTTATTTTGGTGTGCTCTGGATCCACATAGAATAAGCAGATTGAAAATGTTGAATAGCAAAAATAGATTTGTCAAGCGCACTACCAATGTGGGATAAAAGATAGAAACTTTGGATATCAGTGTTTGGGTGTGCGAGCTCCTAGAAACAGGCAGGGGTAGCCTGTGTTATACCATAAGGAAACGGGGAGAAAAAGGAGCGCTTCAACCTAACACAATGGCTGGTATTAGGACGTGATATGTAACGATGTGATGATTATGTACCCATTTCTAAATTACTGTGACAGTCTAATAATGTAAAGAATGGCACTCACTTGATATGAAGATGATGGATGTCCTGTAGAGTTAACTGTTGACCAAAACCTCCTGAGGACTGAGGGTAATCCAGTTCAGTGACGTGCAAAGTAGTTATCGATAGGATTGTTCTTATTGATGGTGAGCAGATTGTATTGATATGGGCGATTCCTTTAGGGCTGCAGCTAACTATTATTTTCATAATCGATTAGTTAGCCGATTCTTAAGTTCGATTAATCTGATATTAAAAAAAAGGCTCCAGTGATGGACTACTAGTTTGTATTGAGATTGTAGTCCATCACGGGAGCAAGCTTGGAGCGGTGGAAGTAAAAAAAGAGTGTGGTGTGCAATATAGTACATTATACAGCGACGCAGTGCAGAATACCACCAGCTATAGAGGAATGTAGCAATAGTACATTATACAATAATTTACTATTGCTGGGATTTGTAGTCCTCTGTAGCTGGCGTTATTCTGCATTGAGCTGTATAATGATTATACGGCGAAATGCAGAATACCAGCAGCTATATAGGAATACAACAAATGGCAGCAATAGTACAACATTATACTATAATGTACTATTGCTGGGATTTGTAGTCTTCTATAGCTGCTGGTATTCTGCATTGCGCTGTATAATGATTATGCTGCGCAATGCAGATTACCACTGACCAGTTATAGAGGAACTACAAATCCCAGCAATAGTACATTATACAGTGCAATGCAGAATACCACCAGCTATAGAGGAACAAATCCCAGCAATAGTACATTATACAGTGCAATGCAGAATACCACCAGCTATAGAGGAACAACAAATCCCATCAATAATACATTATACAGTGCAATGCAGAATACCACCAGCTATAGAGGACTACAAAACCCAGCAATAGTACATTATACAGCGCAATGGAGAATACCAGCAGCTATAGAGGAACAACAAATCCCAGCAATAATACATTATGCACGGTGTTTAATGTATTATTGCTGGGACTTGGTGTTCCTCTATAGCTGCTAATGTTCTGCAGTTTGCCGCTTAAAAAAAAAAACAGGAAACATTAAAAAGCTCCCGGCCGATCTCGACTTACCTTGAATGACGGTGGGCAGCGGCGAGTCGGGAAGCTCACCAGGGCCAGAACCATGTCCTCAGCGTGTGCGGTGGGCGTGGTGTAAGCGGCGTCGCGTGAGCGGGTTTACAGGCATAGGCGTGGCGCGAGCAGCTTAAACGACGCGGGCGTGGCGTGAGCGGGAAATTTAAATTTTAGCCGACGATGGAGAACGTTGACAACGTTTTCCATCGTCGATTTTAATCGAATAATTGTTGCAGCTCTAGATTCCTTGAGTTCCATGAAGGGATGTGACCTGAAGTACCATGAAGTGATGAGAGGAAAAGCAGCCCTTGCACTGTCATACAGCGCACGGCTGCTTTTCCCCTCTCACTCAGAGCTCCCAAAGCTCATCTTGGCCAGCTAGTTCTGCCGCTGTCACTGCTTCTACAAGTCTGCCAACCTTCTTCCACTGCCTTACTGCCCCCATAAGCCTGACCTGTGAGCTCTGCCTTTTTACTGCCCCAACTAGCATGCCCTGCCGGTTCAAACATTCCCATTCCTCCCATCTACATCGCATTGATCGACAAATCTGACCCCACCCCAACTGCAATAGGGTCACATTCCTTCATGGAACTCAAGGAATCACCCATATCAATACAATCTGCTCGCCAACAATAAGAACAACCCTTGAAAATGTTGAAGGATCTCTCGCCATGTTTACTATGAATATAAGAAAAATAATCCTTTTAATAATTATGTCATTTGCCTCTGTAGGACTTGTATACATACTAAGCAAATGTAATCAACAGGCTTAAGCCTATTCTTGCAAAAAATAGATTTTCCCCATTGTAATGCTGTAACTAAAAAAACTTCATGATATACAGTAGAAAAGTTAACTTTTTTTTTTCTGTTCATACTTTTAGTGAAAAACTTGAGGACTGCTCTCGCAAGCTTATTAAAGAAAATGGACTGTATGCCGGTCTTGCTTTTCCTACAGGCTGTTCCTTAAATAACTGTGCAGCCCACTACACTCCTAATGCTGGAGATCCCACAGTGTTACAGTATGATGATGTTTGCAAGATTGATTTTGGAACGCACATCAATGGTAAGGCGTTGTAATTTGTATTTGTACATCAATACAGTCATTACGAAACCCATTGTAAGATTTTTTATTTTATTTTTGTTTCTTGGCATTACAGGTCGTATAATTGACTGTGCTTTCACAGTCACATTCAATCCAAAGTATGACAAGTTGCTGGAAGCTGTCAAAGATGCAACAAACACTGGAATTCGGGTATTTTTTCCAAGGAACTTTTGATTTTTATCTCAAGGAAATCTAATCGGCTCCTAATTCTTTTTAATTTTGCCTCCTTTAGTGCTCTGGTGTTGATGTCCGCCTTTGCGATGTTGGTGAAGCAATCCAGGAGGTTATGGAATCGTATGAGGTTGAAATTGATGGCAAAACATATCAAGGTAAACATATATTGCAGTGCATTCAGCAGTGACCTAAATCTAGTTTGCGAAAACCTGCAAAATGGTAATTTTAAGCTTGCTCTTTTAAAGGAGAACTATGGGGTTAGGGCTTTTCCCCATTGTTCTCCTAAGGGTAACAGGAGGACACAAACTAGCGTCCTCCCGTCACCCTAACCTCAGTATACCGCGAGTTGTAGATCGCGGTATACTGAGATGCCGCGAGTTGTAGATCGCGGTATACTGAGATGCCGCGAGTTGTAGATCGCGGTATACCGAGACGCCGCAGCTGAAGCGGATCCCGACAATTGTGCCGGGATCTGCCCAGCTGCTTGACTGACAGCTGGCTCTGCCTATCTAGAGGCAGAGCCAGCTGTACCCGCCCCCTCCCCCGTCTGTTCCGCCAGTCAGTGCTGGCGGATCAGGGAGGGGGGAATCCAGCCCCTCCCCTGTCACGGCAGAGAGCCGTGACAGGATCGAGAGGTGAGCGAACGCCGGTATGTGTTCGCTCACCTCCCGATCTACTGAGCCGACCTGTGACAGTCTCATTGTCACAGGTCGGCTAGAATTATGAGGTGAGTGAAAAGCATTCACCTCGTAGTTCTCCTTTTTTAATATAAAGAATAAAGATCTGAATCAGTTACTTTATAAGGGTCTCATTTTCATGCACCTATAGGTGAGACTTGGTGGCTTGTGTTGTGATTGCTGACACATGCTGTAGACGTGTGCTGTCATTCATAACACAAGCTGCCAGCTAGTACTCTAGTCTATCTCCCCGGAATAGAAGGCAGGTGGGTCTGGGCTCCATTGTGTGCCCTTCAGTGTAAAGGGAAGAGATGGACAGGTCTAGAATATAGCAGAGCTGCAGATGTTAGAACAGAATACTGATCAACAAGCGACCTCTGTTTGAGGGCTTGTTCACACAAGGCATCCATTAATGAAGGAATTAAGCGGTTACAAATACCGGAGTGCTATGAGCGATCTGGTATTTGACAGCTGAAATAGAATGGTATGCACATGCTCTCCTATTTCACTTTTGACAGCTTTGTGGAGATCGGACTTCCGATCTGTAAGGCTGTTAGTTACATTCTTCAGCACAGAAATATGTAACAAAATATTTCTATGCTGAAACAATGTTTTTTGGCTAGTTCACACTAAGCGCGGAGCAGAGCAGTTACAGAACGGATCAAAACTGCGTCCAATCTATTCCAATGGTATTTTGGGCTCTAATTCACACGAGAGCGTTCAGTTCCAAAGCATGTGGAAAAACTGCAGCATGCCCTATTTTTTCTGCTCTGGAATGCACCAAAACGCATCACAAACGCACGCAAATGCCCTGGAATGCACTAAAAGCCAATTTTAGACTTGAATTTTCTTTTTTTAATTACAAAAATGGCCCGGAACGCATCATAAACATGGCACAACACAACATGTGCAGAAACTCATGCAGTTCTGGTCCGCATTTGGTGTGAACAAGCCCTTAAGGCTTCTGATCATCTGAGAATGATCAGAAGCCTTTAGTGAGATCTGATCCTGACATGCTGTCAGGGTCAGTATTACTAAGGTTATTCTTGGCTGTTCCTCAGTTTGCAGCAGCCTAATAACCAAAAATAAAAATACTAAATTATCAAGCAGTCATAGTGACTGCTTGATATAATTGACCAAAAAAAAAGTAAAAGTGCAAAAAAAAAAAATATTATAATTATAAAATAAATTAACCCCTTACAATGAAAATCTGCACCTTTGTTCACCCTAAGGGGTTAATTTTTAAAAAAATCCCCCTCATGACTGTGTTCAAAGTATGCCGCTGTCCCTAAGTGACAATGACACTTAAAGTGATATTAAAGCCTCAATTTTGTTTTACATTTTCCCTTTAGGTGGACCCTCCTTTGCTGGAGGCTGTTGCTGCTTTTCTTTAACTGCCTCCGGGCCGGCCGTAGTAGAAAAACGGCCGGCCTGGAGCTCTCTAGATCTGAGCAGGCGTCTTTAAACGTCCGCTCCGACACTCGGCACGCGCGGGAAATTGCCGTTTTTTAAAAACAGGCAGCGATGCCTGTTACCATACAAGCGATCCACCGGATCGCGTGTATGGGGTGCCGATCGGTGTGTGTGTGTGTGTTTGTCCCCGCCATTGTCCCGCTAATCCCGGGCTCCGCTACCCGGGAGTAAGGGGAACAGAGGATCGCTTCGGGATCGGTCGGGGGGACTGAGGGAGAAAGAAGGTGCTGGGAAGTTTTTACCCTAATGCCTAATGCATTAAGGTAAAAAATGGCCAGACCTCAATACTACATGACAGTGACATTGTAGGCCACCTAACCACTATTGGTTTTTAGAGAAATAAATAATAAAATGTTAGCTTTTAGTTTTAGGCCGCAAAGTACAAACATTGCTCCTATGGTGGACTCAAACATTATAATCATAACTGGTGATAAAGCTTGCTCCTATGATGGACTATAATCTAACATTTAGTTTACGAATTTCTATTGAGATTGTAGTCCATCACAGGAGTGAGCTTGGAGCGGTGACTACTTTACAACACATACAGAGACCATGTGGAACAAAAGCAGCCACCCTCCAGAAGGGAGGACAGTGTCAGTACCAATTCAGAGACGATTTGAGGATCTACAGCTGAGTGACACACAAATAAGATACGCTTTTGTTAATGATTAAGATACTTGAATGTATTTTTAAGATTTAACTCCTGAGTTCAGTGTCACTTCAAGTGTTGGAAAGTATCTTCTTTGTACGCATAATTTCTCTTTTTTGTAAGCGATTGCTTTAGTATGTGCCTTCATTTGGAATTTATATTTGTCCTGCCCCTCCTTGGGGGCACATTGTGCTTGTGTAAGCAAAAGTATTAAAGGAAAGTAGATTTGCCAATCAATATGAATTGATTGTAGTTGTACCAACCCCTGGAACTGACAAGATCTCTCTAAAATCAAAGATTTCTGTCACAGTTGGGAGGGGCTTGTGATGTTTCTGTCTCTTGAAAGTCATTTCTAAATGTACTTTTTTCTCCCCTTTCTTTTATGAATAATTTCTTTTATGAAGTGAAACCCATTCGGAATCTGAATGGTCATTCTATTGGACCATATAGAATACATGGTGGTAAAACTGTGCCCATCGTGAAAGGAGGTGAAGCGACACGTATGGAGGTACAAGTTACAGTTCATGGTAGTACTTTTTATCTGCTTTCACATTGGTGTTCTGAAATAAAAAGAATACATTTTTTTGTTTGTTTTTCAGGAGGGTGAAGTGTACGCAATCGAGACTTTTGGTAGCACTGGGAAAGGAGTGGTTCATGATGACATGGAATGCTCTCACTACATGAAAAACTTTGATGTTGGGCATGTGCCAATTAGGTAGGAGTATATTCTGAATTCTGATCTATTTAAATGAAAATACTGCTGTACAGCAATGGATAAGGTTGTGTACTTTGTTTACATCTTTGGGCTACCTTTTCATTTCTATCTGTGAAAGAACTAGCATTGCGGTCTGCCAGGTCTTTCTCACCAGGGTGGAGTATCAAACAACAATCGGAACAAATCTTTCCTTTCATGTAGAGAGAGAAAAGGGCAGGTTAACGTGCTTGCACACAACAACAAATGAATACAAATACTCGGGTACTCAGGCATGCTATTACCGAGACCACAAAGCCGCGCAGAGCGAAGCAAAACTGTCCGGCACAGAGCTTTGCGTGCAGTGTGTGTGTGAGCTGAGTGCAGGCAGATGATTGACTGCACCTGCAGCCATCGGCTCGTGCGTAACAACCGGCCAGACGTCGCATCCCAACACGCGGGTGTATACGCGCAAGCTGATTGGCTGAAGATGACATTTTTCATCTTGGCACCCTCAGCTAGGCGAGCTGTCGCAAGCTGACGTGCCTGAGAGAAAATGACATGACACACTGCTCGCAAAGGCACTGCGCCACCGATTCGCGCGCAGTGTTTTTCGCAGCCTTTAGGCTCAGACGTTTTCCTCAGAGCCATGGCCTGTTCCAGTGCTCTCATCCAACTACTATTATGTGGCAAATAAGTTGCGCTCGGTCTAGTTGTGAATGGATGTGAAAGTGCTCTCTCAAAACCCAAAGGGGGAGATCACCTTCAGATAACAAAATAAATTTTAAATATAAAGTAGATGTCTCCACTAGTGATAGTGAACTAATGTTTGAAGATGCAGAACTCAACCCGGTGGTACTCGAGTGTATTGTATGTGTGTCGTGGGTTTTAACTGGCTAAACAAATCAGTTATATTGAAAACATCCGTAAAGGCATAATCATAAAGCAATAATATGTGAGAAAACAGTGAATAAAAGCACCTATATATAAAATCCAGTAAATAGTTAAACAACAAGTGATACGTAATAAAAACGAAAACGAAAAAATAAATATAAAATAAAAATAAATATAAATATAAAAAATAAAATAAAAAATAAATAAAAATATAAAAAAATAATAAAGTGCAGCCCAGTGCGTGTTAGTTCCTCTCAAAACGGGAACTACAGGGTTAATAGGCTCAAATCCAAATATCCTAAACAGTCATTTCAGAGAAATTGCGGTTTGCAAAAAACAGTAATTACTTTCCTTATTTCCGTAATGTCTGAGTGGAAAGTTTATTCGTTCAACTGAGGGTTCCTCAGGAATATTCACGGGGATCCATATCAGACCACCCAATGGTCCAGAGATTCTCGAACAAGACTGTGGTTGTAGTGATCCGGCACACTCTTTTCTCTCCAGATCTGTTGACGGGTCCCTATGACGGGTTTCCTAAAGACTCGCCTCCCGACTGGCGGCAAAGACCTGTAGAAAAAAGCTCCCAGGGGAAAACGAAAAAAGAAGGCAGGACCTTCTAAGTGTAGTAATTTAAAAAAGGTTTATTTCTTTTCTTGAAAAATAAGTAGATTGCACTTACAAGATAAATGATATAATCAAGCTTAAAATCGTTTAAAAGGATGTCGGCTGTAAGCGGCGAAGACAGATATTCCTTGACGCGTTTCGTTGATTTAACTTTTTCAAAAGGAGTCATGTCTTCGTCTCTCTCCCAGCTTTATTTAAAGTAATCCAATTACCTTAAGCAGTAACAGCTGGTACCAATTTGATCTCTCTAGAGATAAGAACATAATAGACTCACTTATACACAAAGTTGCTGCTGGTCTATTTAGTTATTTAGATTTCGAGTCACTCATTCCCAGCGCAGTGATTTTTGATTATTACTCATCCAACTACTGTTAATGCCTGCACAGAGAGGTGTATAAGGGCTGTCCCCTGCAGCTCCTATCTCCTACCCACTATTTGCTGCATTGCAGCCTTCACAAATCTCCCCAGCATTTAACACAGAGTCATTTCCTTCTCTAAGTCCCGTGCGGTCGGAGGATGGAAGCTAACATGTATGCATACACGCACGCACACTCCCCACAAGGTAGAAAGTCGAAGAGACTTGCAGAGTCTGCACTGAAACCGAGAAGGTAGGGAATTACGTTTTTTGTTTTTTTTTTTATTTGAAAAAGGTGCACCTTTTACTTTCTCTAGCTATACTTCTTCTTCTCTTATGGGAAACTGGCATTGGGAATTAACATATCTTCTTGGGTCACTTTAACTACCTCCCGGCCAGCCGCTGTGTATACACGGCCTGCCGGGAGCTTCTTGGATGTAACTGGGCGTGTATACACGTCCTGTTACATCCGCCCGCTCGAGCGGGAAATCCCCGCTATTTGAAAAGAGGCAGCGATGCCCGTTAATATACAAGCGATCCGCCGGCTATAGAGCCGGCGGATCGCTTGTATGAGGCCCCGAGACGTGCGCCCCCCTCCCGCTGTCAAGCTGGTCCCGGGCTCCGGTGTAAGCCCGGGACCAGCAAAGTGCCTCTGTCACAGGGGATCAGAGGGAGCTCGGTACACGAGCTCCCTCCGGTCCCCATTTAGGGCCATCAATCACTGATAACACTAAACTGATGAGCGGTAAAAGCTTTTAAAGCGTCGCCTATGGCCAATTTTGGGTATGCTAGTTTTTTGCGAGTGCGCGCAATTTTTACGCTTGACATGTTTGGTGTCTATTTACCCGACTTGACCCCGTCTTTTATATTTTACCAAAAAAGTGGGTAATATTAGTTGTTTTATAGCATAATGTGAAAAAAAAACTTTTTTTTCTCAAAATTTGCAGTAATTTCTCCTGAATATAGTAAAAAATAAAACCCGCAGTGGTGATTAAATACCACCAAAAGAAAGCTCTATCTGTCCCCAAAAAATGGTATAAAATTCATTTCAGTACAGCGCTGCATGACGGAATAAATGTCAGTCAAAGTACCGCAGCGCTGAATACTGAAAAATGGCCTGGCCAGGTAGGGGATCTAAACACCTGGTCTTGAAGTGGTTAAACTCAGTTGAGATTTTTTGTTGACCTACTCATTTTCTTTTTTTCCCCTTCAGACTTCCAAGAGCAAAACACTTGTTAAATGTCGTCAATGAGAACTTCGGCACTCTTGCTTTCTGTCGTCGGTGGCTGGATCGACTTGGAGAGAGCAAATACCTAATGGCTCTAAAGAACCTGTGTGATTTGGGTATCGTGGACCCATACCCGCCTCTCTGTGACATCAAAGGCTCCTACACAGCACAATTTGAACATACCATTCTGTTGCGCCCAACCTGCAAGGAAGTTGTGAGCAGAGGAGATGACTATTAAAGCTGATGTTGAACTTGATGCTGCCTGTCTTTAAATACTGCTTCTATGGAAGCATATTGTAAGAGGAATTTGGAAAAGTGATGTCCTAATTAGGACACCAGAAATTGGAATAAATGTGGATTAAAGGCATAGCTTTACTAACATTGGGCAAGGCTGACTTTCAGACCTATTTCTTCAGGGGAATGTTAATTATGCTAAATTTTATGTTTCAAATATTTTGCCTTCGAAATGCTTTTGAAATGTTTATATTCAGATATATTGGCACAAGTTTCTTAAACTTGTTTCTGTGGATACTAGCATTGCATTTTAACTCCCTGGAAACATCTTTTTTTTTTTTTTTTTATGCAAAAAAAAAAAATAAAGTTGAATTTTCAGATGAGAAATCTCATTTTACAGAGGAGTTCAATTCTCTATTCCTGAATTGCTGTGTGTAGATTGACCAGGATCTTACCTGGGTCTAGTCCGGGCAGTTGCAGTGTGATTTAAGGAGGGAGTGTATCCAATACAAATGTTTTTTTTGACTAAATAGGTTTACAACCTTCTTTGATCTAGTGACCTACAAAAATGGACACATTTGTTGGTACCCTTCCATGTAAAAGAGCCCATCATTTTCTGTGAAAAACTGAAACTAAACCAAAGTAATTGGCATCCATTATTTATTCCATATTTAATAAAATTAGACCTTGTTTTTGATTTTTACTTTGACAGAATATTTTAAATAATGAAAATGGCATGAATAAACAATGATGGGACCCTAACCTCATATTTGTTGCACAACATTTTGAGCCAATCCCTGCAAACAAGTGATTTCTGTAGCTCTCAGTGAGAATTTTGCATCTGCAAACAGGTAGTTTGTCCTACTCTTGGTAAAACTGCTTCAGGTTTGAAGGGGGTGTCTTCTGACTGCATGTTTTAGCCCTTTTCATAGATGTTTGATGGGATTCATATCAGGACTGAAGGCCACTTCAGAATAGTCCAATGTTTTGTTCTTCGCCATTCTTAGAGGTACTTTTAGCTGCTTGTTTAGGGCCATTATCCCGTTGATAGACATGAGATTTAATAGTGCCCTGCACAGATCCAAGGCACCCATGCCAAATGCATCAAAGTAGCTCCAAAACATAACTGAAGTTTCGGTTTCACAGTAGGTATGGTGTTCTTTTCATTAAAAACTTAAAGGGTTCCTAAACCCTCTGTATTTTTTAATCATATATCTACTGTTAGCAAGCAGTCGATATAGGCAAAACGTTTTTTTTTTAAAACACGCCTTAAACTTACCCTGTTTTCGTCATGCGCTCCCTCCCGAGAATCCGAAAACTACTCGTGTGGCCGCAAAGCATCTTGGGGTGGGTGCATGCGCAGTTCGGATTTTCAGCCGGGAGACTAGCAGAGACGCAAGGTAAGTCTATGGACGCGTGCACCTGCATGCAGACACCGTGGGACAGGAAGTGCCAGCAAGCACAGAAGAGTCAGCGGTGGATCGGAGAGCCACTGCACCGCTGGAGGGACAGATGAAAACACCAGGAAAGAGGAAGATCGGATAAAACCTCATTTAAGGGAAGTGCTTACATTAACATTGAGGGGAGGGGAACATTTTTTGACTTTAATGTCACTTTAATTTTTTAGTCTGTGAACATAGAGCTGATGAGACAAAACTGGAGCTTTTTGGCAAGTCTCAGCAACCCAAAGGATATCCTCCCAAAAGCATTTCAGCTTCTTAATATGCATTTTAGTAAATTCCAGTCTGGCTTTTTAATGTTTCTTTTTTTAACAGTGGAGTCCTCCTGGGTATTCTTGCTTTGGAGCCCACTGTTACAGTGATGGATTGTGCAATCAGACACTGATGATTCTTGATATTGGAGTTCAGCTTGTAGCTCTCTGGAAGTTTTCCTTTTTTGTTTAGAGCATGTGGTGCACTCCAGATTATCTTAGCCAGACTTCACCAAGTGATGCAGTGAATCAAACAAATCCTCAAAAGCAAGTGTGCTACCAGCACATCAAAGCTCAGTCCAGTGCCATTTCTTAAGCTGAACATACACTATTATACTTTTTTTGATTCAATATGCAGGCTGAATGAAAAAAAGAACCCAAATCTCTAGCTGGGCAATTGACCTGACTGGCTGTCATTGCTCGCCTGAAAATGTTCTGACTGGCCCTTGTAAAAGCCCCTTCACCAGACAGACATTGACATGAAGCATTGTTTCAATGAGCTGTAATGGTACCAACAAGTTGGTCTGTGTCTGGTATGCACCATCCTATATTTGCAACATATACTATTTTATCTGCAACGTCTATCACTTCATACAAGCATGCGCCTATCACTTGCTCAGATGTATTTTTTTTTTTAGAAGAAAGGTATAATATTTTTTAAACTTATTTTCATCAACTGTTTTAGGCTGTTTCAAATTCTAGTTTAAATATATTCATAAATGAAATATTTTATAATATGGGTCTAATTATAAATCTCTTTTCACAACTTTTATCCAAGAAAAGTGTGTGAATCCTGGGTGAAAGTTGTGTAAATCCTGCGAAAACAATTGGACCCCATACTGTGTTTTATATAATTTTGTGCCTAGCAATCAGATAACAAATACAAATGGATGCAGTAATGATGAAGTGATTGATTTTAGTAAGATAGGGAAATTGAGAAGGTTATTTACCTTTGAGTTATGCTGCCGCCTACACGAGGATTGGACACCGGCAAATTGTAGGCTAGCCTAAAAAAAGTTTTTACCCCTTAGAGGAGTGTTCCCCCAGAAATGGTTTGTGCTGTGGGTAGATGCTGTGATCTATTGCCGTAACAGATCTCTCTCTGTTCCAGTGGAGGATGTCCTGGCCTTTAAAGACCCAGTGCATTAACATTTTGGAAGCCTGTTGAAGGCTCCCTTTGTCTGTCTTGGGGCTACCCTGCAGTTGGCAACTTCAATAAGGATATGTCACATTCCTGCAGATGGCACATGATCCTAGTTCCATTCTGATGGTGATCATCCTTTCTTCAAGGCAGTTCCCTAGCCTCAATTCCAGACCACAATTGAGCATTCTGGCAGTGTGGGATAAACAATCGGGCGAGGAATCTGGGAAATCCTTCTCAGGATGTTGATGGTCCCAGGGACCTATTCACCAAGGGAATCCAGGCAGTCGAGCAACGTTTGGGAGTTAAAAGTGATTTGCCTCTTCTGTCATTGGTTGGGTCAGCTGCCGGGTCTACTGGTTATTGTTTGACGATACCATAACTGTGCAGCAGGAAGCACAGATTGTTTTTTGTTTTGTTTGGCTATGAGGCTGTTGGCAGTTTTCCTGTATGCGCAACCATCAGGACATTACTGGATGTCCCAGTCATCTATGAAGTGCCTGGATCCTGTACTGTATGATCAAGAAAGCAGGATTTTTGACTAACAAGTCAAATCCATTTCTAAAAGTACAGTACAGGACACAGCACCCTTCTTGCTATAGCTTGTGCAAAAAAACCCTAACAAGTTCCTGGAGTGGAAGGGGTTATTTCAAGGTCCCAACTCTGGCCGATCACCTGATGATACCTGCATATTACCCAGTCATCTATGAATTGCCTGAATCCTGTACTGTACTCCCAAGAAATTGATTTTACTGGCAATTCAAAAATCATGCTTTCCACTACACCTCTATGCAGACTGGCCAGGATCCCACCTTATTGTGTGTTGGAACTGTTCCTATTTGAGAGGGAATTTGTTAAATGGTGATCTATGCCCAAGGTGGATGGATCTACCTGTGACCCACTAACAGGAAAATCACCAGCCCAGTAGGTGTGTTGCCAGAATTCTACTGACCAATGGTTGGAATCCTCTTTAAGGCCTCATTCACACCATCCTTGGTGTGTTTGGGCCTGATTGCATTATAAGCACTGGATCGCATTTCAGCCAGCTCAGTTTGTTGTGGGGCAGGAGGGGGTGTACTGGTCCATTGGAGTGAATGGCACCGCAGCCATGCCCTCCAGCCGCATGGGAACGTGTGGCACATCAATGCCTGCAGTCCGGTCAGCACCATTTTTTCTGACTGGACTGGAACGCAGGCATTGATGTGCCACGCGTTCCCATGCAGCCAGTGAGCGTGGCTGTGGTGCCATTCACTTCAATGGACCACCACAAACTGAACTGGCCACAGTGCGTTCCGGCCACAATGGGGCCGGAACACACTGAGGATGGTGTGAACGAGGCCTAAATCCCAGGTTTCTTTGGCTAGTTCTGCCCTCTGTTGGCAGTGGCCTTAACCTGTGAAACCGTGGCAGAATACATTAGATCCTCAAAAAAAGTTAATTCCTCCACTGCAGTAGACACCTTCCTGACAGAGTGGGGTGTTCCATATGGGTCTGTTGTCTATAAAGATGCGCAGAGTGCTATGGTTAAGGTGCTGGGACACAAAAGCTTTATCCAAGGAGCACCTGATTTGCTTGGCCTTCAAGGGATAAGGTCTCTCCAGACCTACCCTTGATGCTATTATTCAGGATAGCACAAGAGGGCAGCGGGTATAGCCTCCTCAGCTGACCTTTACTTGGACTTCTGGTCTGTCCTTGATATTGTGAGTATCCTTACTCACAATATTGCCTTTCTCATGTGGCGGCCTTAAGCTGCAAAAACCCTTCCTGGCGTTGCACAAGGGCGAGGTGGGTTTGTAGCTCTTGGCAGCTTTTCTTCCTAAATTGTTTTTTTTCCTTTCACTTCACCCAATATGATGATCTATTTCTTTGTGCTGTTCCTAAAGCCCCTATGGAGTTTTTCCTTCATTTTCTGGCTGTGGTACACACTGTGGGAGTTTTTCTCTTGTCTACAGCTCACTTTCAGGGGGGCAGCCTACACTAGGTGAATGCCTCAGCTTACCATTCAACCATAGGCTCTCAGGGGGCAAGTTTCCCGATCAAAGTGCACTCATTAGATCAGTTAGTGCTTAATTACTTTACAGCATCAGGCATCTGTTGCTCAGTTTTGCAAGGCTGTCATCTAGTCTTGCAGTCTTTTTTTTACCAGGTGGATATTTTGCCTTCTGTTTGCTCTTGCCCATCCCTCAGTAATCCCAGTGTTCTAGATTACTATTCTGTGTCCCATATTGTGTGACAAGGAAAACAGCATTTCTCTTGTTTTGCTTGGAGTATATTATGAAATGCTGGTCTCTGTTATTATGATCCACTACTTCCTTGCTATAGAATGGCACAGAACAGAGTGGGAGGGGTTATACTGGGCTGTCCTTACAGCTTTGCCACTGTTTAATCTCCTGAAGGTACTAATGTAACCCAATGTTCTGGATTACTGTACTGTGTCCCATAATGTACTCCCAAGAAAAGGATTTTGCATGTAAACTTTTTGTATTCATTCTAAAATCCTTTTCTCGGGAGTCCATTGAGGGACACAGTACATGACTTCCTGTCGGCTAGCCTAACCTCCTCTACCCAGCATGTCTCAGTTTGTAGGACAGAGTAACAAGGGCATGATCATAAGTAAAGAGGGTGGGGACCAGTGTCCCTCAATGGACTCCACATAAAAGGATAAATAGACAGACATATCCCTAATAGGTTCAGGGCAGTCTTTGAAGGTCTGACATAACCAGGTGGGGAATATACTTGGGGAACAATGTGAGCATCACCCTGTACAAAGACCTTCACAGGGGAGTAAGAGGCAATTGGTCTTTGAAAAAGAATTACTAGGGCTGAGATTTGACCCTTAAATGGTACTCAGGACCAACTGTTGATCTAAACCTGGCTGGTTAAAATACTGAATTTGTCCCACCAAGTACTTTCTGGGATGGAAATATCTGGCCTTGCGCCATGAGAAATATGCTTTCTAGGTGCGAAGGTAGATTTTGCAAGAAGTTGAATTCCTAACTTTAAGAGCAAAGGAATATTTTAAATCACATAGTTTCCCATAACATATCACTAAAAAAAAAGGTTCTAGATTAGAACATAAAACGGAACCTAGTTATCTCTACTTTAGATGGATCCCAGCAGATAAACCAATCTACACGTTAATTCAAACTCTCATGGACTCAATCAAGTGCCTAGATCTTTACACTTTTGATCACAGGGTTGCCTAACTGCATCTGGAATCTCAACTTTCCTACTATACATTTTGTGTTGACTGAGCTTTATATAACTAGTGCCGACATACAAATAGGTTATTGTGTGACACGATATTCAGAGGTATGTAAATAACCAGGTTGAACTGTAGAAAGTAAAAACAAGCAAGAGAACACTTATTGTAAAAATACAATGCATGATGTATTAAAATGGGAAAAAAAAAAAAATTCTAAAACCATAAAATGACATCAAGAATTCACAAAGTCAAAAATCAGCCTGAGGTCAGAACTATACAATTTACATGGGAACAGCAAAAATATAGTTTGATAAAAAAATGTTTTAAAGTTATACATTGCCAATATACAAAATGTTACCATCATTTTATTCTATTTTCGAGTGCTTAATTCCATACAAAAATGTATAAACATATTGAACACAAAAATTGAGAAACATTGTCACATTCTTTCAATCGTCGTGCTTATACAAACATTTGGGATGACACGTCTGCTATGGCTTGCCCAGGCAGCAAGTAATAGAGTTTCTGCCTGATCAGACAGGCAAGTGTTGTTCATTGGCTTCCTACTGGCTCTAAGTGGTTGGGTTGCAAAATCCAAATACACTGCTTGATCAAATGCTGCTTCCAGGTATATAAAGGGTACATGCCAAGTGAACGGTACGAACCAAAGCCTACACCAATTCATTAGGTCAGGGCTGCACAGTTCTCGGTCACCAGGGCAACTCAAGAAAAAACTGACGACCTGGTCATTGAGAACTCTAACCAGTGAAGAGGCAGGTGAAATAATGGGGCTATTGATAGGAAGAGGCAGCACTGCATGAGAACATAGCAGCCAATATGACTGTATTGGCAGCTGGCATTGTGCGAGAGTCTGAGCTAAGTTCACCATTTTCACGAGCTGACAGGACTTGGCTCAGTCCATCTTGAACAATGCCAACTGTCAATGCAGTCATTATAGCGGATACATTCTCATGCAGTGCTGGCTTTATGGAGCACTTGAGTGACCACCTCCACACCATCAATAGTTATATCAGCATGATGGTAAAAAAAAAAAATAATCCCTTGTCCAAATGCCCCCCTGACATTAGTCAGCTCCAGGACCATGACTTGTCTGCGTTGTGAGAGGCCAGTGCAGATAGCATAATGCAGGCAATCCATGACGTGTGTGGGGGCGAGGATGTCCCCTCCAGCTGCCTGGCTTTCTGCTATAAAGCCCACCTCTTCTTCTAGAGCACTCAGTGGTAGATTCATCAATTAATTCCTTCAGGCAGAATGAATCAAACGCTGAGCACTGTTATTGGTATTCCCGGCCCCAGAATGTAACAAATCTGGTACCAGGAGCAGCAAGTACCAGAGCTCCAGGATCTGCGCTGGATAGTGAAGGTACACGACTGCACACAAGTGATTTTTTTTTTTGCATAATTAGTTTGAGGCTACAGGAGCACAGTGTGATGTATTGCGGTCCTGTTTTAACTTTAACTGTTGCTGAACTATGGATCTTTCAGCTATCTATATAGTCATATACAGGTTGCATAGTGCCAACTCCTAGGTTTTTGAAGATGGCTCCTAGTTCTTGGTGATATCTGTTCAGGGCCAGAATTCTATTGTCCACATAGCACAACCCCTCCAATTGAAGAAAGAAAAAAAATATATCTGAAACCTCTGCACCTGAAGTGAACTGTTTGATACCCGGAATGGCACTAAAGGAATTAATTCCTGTGAAAACTGCTTTTCTCCCAATACAATGGGAATGTAAAAGCAGCTTTGAACAGATCAGTCTACAAATTAACTCAGAAGTATCTCGATTGCAAGCTGAATGCATCTGAAAGCAGGCTGCAGTTGCCCATCTCCACAAGGCCTAGTGCATGTAGAGAGGATGATAGAGGCTGTCACTGCAGAGACAATGAAGAGGCTAGCATTTTCAGGAGGTCTGCAACGGAGGCCTTCATATTTCTCACAGTACAGGTTTCCTTTAGCGGCAGTCCAGCATGGTTTTTTTTTTTTATGCACAGCATACAGTGGACTGTTCATACAATGCTAGTTATGTTTCTCATCTTCTGCTTAAAGGTTTTGGATTTTTAAACTAAATAGCTTTTCCATTGATATGTCGGGGTATGTATAGAATCTTCTGCTTACAAGACCTATGGACTTCCCTTACTAGACCTGGAGTCAGCATTTGCAGTCATGAGTGTGGTGTTTCTTTGTTGGATCGTGCTATATATGTTGACTTCTGAGGACCTACATCGAGATTAAAGCTGAACTCCAGGATAGGAAAATATTGTCTGCATACAAGAGTCATGTGCATTCCTTCTTGAACCTTGGTGTCCTTTGTGCATTTCTTACAGATTTCTGCAGTAATCCAATGTGAAATTCTGCCTCTGCAGGAGCATCCTGTAATAAAGACCAGTCACTGCTACTCTCTCTTCTTATGCAAGGTGTCCAGTCTTGTATCCTTCCCACAGCTCTGCTCACTGCACAGGATATGTGCAACACAATGATGTTGTTAACACTACTTTTTCAAGGTAACAATTGGGTTGGCAAATGTATTCGGCACACAGCGTGGATTTATATCCTTTGTGGCGATTGAGAAATATGTTGTGCCTGGAGTTCAGCTTTAAATTTATACAGCAACGTTCAATACCTTGAGCAGCCACTACTAAAGTCTGTGCTGGATGGGATGAAAAGAATGTACACTGTACACAAGCAGACACACCAACGGCCCCGGGAACTGAGATCAGAAGCTGCCATTGTGGTTTCAGTTTTCCATGGGAGTATGTTATCTCAGCAAGGTGTGGAAGGTGGACTACCAGACGGAGTGCCGTGACCTGAAAGTTTGTTAGACAAGTGGTGTCCATTCTCCTGAGTGACCCGTTGTGTGTAGAACAGGATGTAAGCTTGTGCCTTGCAGACTTCGTCCACTGTGCATGCATGCAGCTTAGAGTCATTGCAGTGCACCCAGATTCCTATAGGAAAGGCAAGGATAAAATGTAATCAAGGAAAGATTTTCAGGGTTTGCAGTTATCCGATAGCATTGTGCTCATAGTCATGTCTGTGACATTGATACAAAATAATAGAAAGAAACAGGGACAAAGCCTTTGCATTCTGTGGCAATGAAAAAGTTACAGAGGTCCACCAACAGTGTGTAAAATGAAGTCAAATACTGTACAATCTGATCATTTGTGGGAATAAAGTACTGTATATGAGAACATTATACAGAAGAGCCAATCAAAAGAATCTTCTGTTTCTGTCACTCTAGACTTCCTTTTCACTCCTGGTATTATAAAGAACACTAGATGCCAGACAGAATCACAACTTAAAGAAAAGCGATCAAAACATAAGGATTATAGTACAGTAGTGAGGTTTTCATTTTCTCATTATTTTGCGTCCAATATAAAAACTATAATTTATTATTTTTATTATACTATTTACAGTATAGATAGTAGAATGCTAGCACATCGTCAGGTTAACATGGACTGGAGCAGTAACTCTACATAAAAAAATGAATCATTACCCAAACCTGGGAATAGTGTGTTCAAATGAAGCACGTCTATAATTTATAAATACAAATGTTTTGTCTCATCACAGGGCCTCTTTAAGGATGGAATATAATTATTAGGGATGCACAGATACTTTTTGAGTACCAGTGCAGATACTGGGCATTTTCATGAGACCTACAGGGTTGCAGCTGGGACCTGGCTCTTGCACTCCACCACTGTCCTAAAATCATTAGTCTGTATTGTTTTAGAAAAACTGTCACATGACAATGAAAATGTATCAGCACTCGTAAATGTGAGTACTTGGACTAGTGTCAGTACTTGTTTCTGCGAGTACTTGGGCAAGTACCAGTACTTGTACTCGCAAAACTGGTATCAGTGCATCCCTTTATTTATAAAAACTAAATCATACATTAAAACAGAGATGTACAAATCCCAGGAGCTCCGTGTGCTCCTTACAAATGACAGCTGCCTCCTAATTTTTGAACTTTTCTCTAGTGTAGTCCTGGAGCTGGAAAACATATCTGTACTTGTACCGAGTACTGTATGGGTGCATTCCTAATAATTAGAAACATTGAATGCATGCTTACAAAAATGTGCATCTCTTTTTGATGTATTTGTAGTTTCACAATCATAGTACCTCCTTCCGGGTTGTAGCAGAACGCTGTGTAATGTCCAGAACCAAATCCTTTCCCATGATGCATTACCACAGCAGACAGGTCATAGATAAAGTGGTCTGCTTTCAGGGCTGCAGTAGATTCTCTACAACAGTACGGCTTCATATTTAGCATCTGATCAAACTGCACGTGTACTCCAATTTTCTCACGATGATTGCGACCGGACCACCTGAAAATGAAAAGCATGAGATTGTTATGTTTTGGCTTGGATAGTTCCGGGTACGGACAAGGTTAATGTGTACTTAACCAGTTGACATCCGCGGTGTTAAACCCCCTTCCCATCCAGGCCATAATCGGCGGGCTATGGAGCCGCTGATCGCCTATATGTGTAACACCCGGTAACGGGTGTGTGCACTGATCGGGTCTTTTCTGCCCGTGCGTGCCCGCTAGGGGGCGCGCGCGAGCAGAAAAAAATTGCCGTCTGGAGACGGCAACCCGCAGATGCTGCAGTGCCGTCCGTCCGTTTTTCTACTACGGGCGGACGGCAAGAGGTTAAAAAGGTACATTTGGCATTAGAGATTTCAATGAAAGGTTAGGGCATAGTGTCATAATAATAGATTGCGTGTAATAAATTAGGTTAAAGATGATTTTGAGTGTTAATGTTACATTTTAGTGTTGGGGGTCAAGGGTTAGGAGTTAGTCTACAGGTTAAGTATTTAAATGTACCTGACCTGAAAGCTTTCTAAGGTGGTGATAGTGCTATAGTGCAGACAAGGCAAGTACATCCTAGGTCTTTCACACGTCTTTAACGTTTGTCCACCACCGCTGTCTGACCACGCTGCTCACATGGAGACATAACTAATTAGGTCTGTTTGACACCTGTCTCTGGCAGCAGAAGCAAGCTGGAGAGAAGTGCCATCATTTAGCACAGCACATGGAGGGGTCAGCTCATATCATATTGCAAGCACTCTAAAACAGCAGTGGATCTGTCAGTGCTGAGGGTGTGTGTGTGACCTATCCGTCAGTTGATTGATCACACAGCCCCAGCAGGGCTGACAGTTCCACCACTATTTTGAGTGCAGCGACAAGAAGCATATGTGATCTGGCCAGCCGGCTACTAGTTAACATCCAAGCACTTGCAGGCCAATTCAGATGTGGGGAGTAGCAGCGGGAGCTGGGTTTGCAACAGGCGCCATGAGGACAAAGCAATAGAGTTGTAGGTGGTGCCCCTGAGGGAACGCTCACAGCTCATCTACAGCAAGGTGTTTCTGATAGATAGGGTGCTCTCAAGGGCTCTGACTGTCCAAGAATGCTTAAAAAAAACATGCAAATACTATTACCTGAACCGCTTGAGATGGAGTCGCAAGACTTGAGGTAGCTGACATACCATCAGCTGTTTCTGAGCTTCTGTAAGGATGACTGGTTTGGAGGAGAACTTCCTGCGCTTGGCTGGACAGATAGAAAAAATGGTCAGTCAAACTGTGATCAACACACACACAAAAAACAAATACCGTGTCAAATTTATCATACATTTCTAAGCTGAGTTTATAGCCTTGCCATTTGCACCATCTTCTCCTCCTAATTGTTATATTCATAGCACATAGCACTTAAACTAGTGCATTACTCACTTTGAGCTTGCTCACACAGGGCTTGGCGAACAAATTGCCTGGGAGCTAAGTACGGCATTTTCGGGAAAATAAATCAAAATAAATCATATCTGAAGCAAAAATTGAAAAGAAAAAACCCCAAAAAATTTGGGATGAAAAAGGAAGAGATTAAAACTGCTATCCTGCCTGTTCCTGTGTCCTAATGGGGGGGATTTCCATCCATTTCCTTTATGACAGAACAAGAAGTGAGAGGAAATCTCTCTAAATTGAGGGGAAATCTCCTCTTAGATAGTTGTCACCAAAACAGACATCCCCATTTAAGGTTTTTACTCTATTCCTGTTCTGATAGCAACTGTAAAAGTTTGAATTTGCCATCACTTTCTGTTCAGGCAACAATGGTCCCCAGGAGATAGAGAGAATCTCCCCAGCGGGGATACAGTGATTAAACCCGAACAAAGCATTTGAATCTTTTATATTGGAAGTAAAAAGAAAACAAAGAACTTTGGATGAACTGTTTATAGAAAGTACAGCTAAGTGACAGCGCGGGCTGTCATCTCATACCTTTTGTTTCACAATGTGTCCCTCCAGCACAGCCCTGCCAAATCAAACATGAAAATACTGACTTCCCAAGTGGCAATGTCCACACCAGCTGAAACATAGCTCATGTACCAGGTACTGCATTGTGAGATGAAGCTGTGCCAATCCAAAAGTTGGATATTCTATTTTCTCAGGGCCGAGCAGGCTGTGTGGTGATCTCACCATGAATGTTTTGTGCTGTATACACTCGATGGTGGTGTAAATGGCCCTACACTGCCTTCCTTTCACTTCCAGGAGGGGATCCTTCCTGATCCAGCAGACTCCAGTGGGGGCACAAATAGTTACATAATCTTATCCTTAAATAACACTTAACACAGGCTACATTCACATAGGCAGTGAATGTGCATTTTATTGGGATCCCCACATAACCTACAAAATTCCTGCGGTAGGAAATGCAAATATGCTGTTTAGAAGTGGCCGCTGTCACCTGTTCAAGTTAATGATTGGATGACAGCCCCCCGGCACTTCACATGTAATTGGATACGGTTAGGAATAGATCTCAATCCCTGGAGACATGGTAGATCATTTGAAGCCGTTTCTACAACAAATCCCCACCATGTGTTTTCATTAAAGTATCTGAATGTATTTGGTGAAGGATGAAAGGGGTACTATGTTATTTTACAAAGTGCTACGTTTACAGTTCAATACACCTTCCCTGAAAAGTGACAATTTGCTGTATAATATAACAAAAGCAGAGAAGGGGTGTAAAAGCTACAAAACATGTGCCTAAGATCTCCGCATGGAAGACGCTGATATCATTTCGTTACTCAGTGTGGAACAGCTATAAATCCATAATCCAAGCCCTCCAGCTGCTGGTAGATGTCACAGGCTTAGGCTATGCACTATAGTAAATACCAGCACAACCCTGGAAATGGCCTTTGCATGTAATTACAGACAGCTTTATTGTGTAAAGGGTGGAATATGTCTTCTAGCAGCTGGTAAAAATCTTACAGATGCTATTCAATGGCCAATCTTCTTACTGTAGAAAGTGCCAACAGATATGACAGGGCTTTACAACTTCACACCAATTCTTACCAACACTGTGCTCCTACAGGGAAAGAATCATGGCTTGGTATAGGTTATCTTTTCTATGATCAGGGCAAACAATAAAATGTATTTTCCTTTTTAGTCAGGGAAAATGATATAATGCATATGAATATTTTGTATTCTCATTTCCAGGATGCAGCTGAATCTCCAGACTCTATATTAGGTCAGACCACATAGTGAAGATCACCTACAACCTGTTAGGTTGTGACCACAGCGTGGATAGCCCGGAAGGATGAGTTCATTGAATGTTTACTTATGAACTGAATTTGATACATTTTCCTCATTTCAAATAAGAGTAATTTAAAAGGAGTACTATGAGGCGAGTGCTTTTCACTCACCTCATAGTTCTAGCCGACCTGTGACAATGAGACTGTCACAGGTCGGCTCAGTAGATCTGGAGGTGAGCGAACATATACCGGCGTTTGCTTACCTCTCGAACCTGTCACGGCTCTCTGCCGTGACAGGGGAGGGGCTGGATTCCCCTCTCCCCGCTCTGCCAGCGCTGACTGGCGGAACGGACGGGGGAGGGGGCGGGTACAGCTGGCTCTGCCTCTAGATAGGCAGAGCCAGCTGTCAGTCACGCAGCTGGGCGGATCCCGGCACAATTGTCTGGATCCGCTTCAGCGTCTCAGTATATCGCGAGCAGCTGCTCGCGGTATACTGCGGCGTCTCAGTATACCACGAGCTACAGCTCGTGGTATACTGAGCCTAGGGTGACGGCAGGACGCTAGTTTGTGTCCTCCCGTTACCCTAAGGAGAACTATGGGGAAAAGACTTAACCCCAAAGTTTTCCTTTAAGCAGTTTGTCTATACAAGTAACACCAAGGCTCAACACCTACACTGCGCATGCTGCGTACACTTACAAAGCTACTTAGAACAGTTGAAATGTAACATTGGTAGAACAGAATATCCTTGAGAATACATACTGCATCTACTCACTGTTGCACTGGTCACAGGCGTAGATCTTCCCCTCTAAAGCCTCAGTCTCTGTGAACTTAGCCAGCATCTCGGTCAGCAGACAAGGTCGATGAGAGGCGCTCTCTTTTCCATTGCAATGATATCTCTCAGGAAACTCCAAGGATAAGTCCCAAAATGGCTCTACTGTATTGGACTTGTTGTCACAGGCAAGACAGGTGACCTGTACAAAAAGGTGACAATTCTAATTTTATTTGCACTCAAGGACATCAAGTACTGTAAACAAAGGTTCATTTCAAAAGGTCAATAAGTTGTCAATAATATATGTGCCATAATCAATCACAGTCTAGGTGCTATCTCGATAAACACAGTGTGCCATCTTCTAGCTTTGATCAGTGTTCAGACACAACAGTGCAAACCAAGAACTAACATCTACATAAGTAAAGTATTTTAGTACTTCATCATCATGTGAAAACATTGATTGTGAGCATGTAGGTGCTGGAGAAAAAGGAAAGGATTACGGATTTAAGATTTATCATTGCTGAACATTTACCCATGGCATATTTTACACAAATGTCCTTCAGCGATGCAAATTAATTATGTTTTATGGCTATTACTGAATTGAGTGGAAATTAAGACGTGATAGAAAACATAATTGCTCAGTTTACTGTTCCCTAGTGGTTTACGCATCTCACTGCCAAATAGAAGGTTTGATTCCAAGCGTAGATACCAATTGTGACTCATTTGGAACCGAATCCTGGAACTGTCCCTCTTCCTTCCTAAGCTGCCCCTCTTTATGGTCTGATTTACAGATCTCTATAAACCTGAACCTGCTATGTTATAGGGAACATTTATAAGTGTGTATTGTGCTTGAGCAATCTACCTTTAGTATGTCCTGAAAAATAGCAGTGCACTTCCTGGTATGTGTGCCTAGGTATTCCTGTGCTTACAGCCTCATAGTTGTATACCTGCAGTAATAGATCGAAAGCTGACCATACATTATACACTCTGATCATACAAATCGCCTTTAGATCTACCGACAACTATGTAGTGCAAGGGCTGCACAACTGGCTAATTGAATGGATTGTCTAGTTTTGCCTTCATATTGCATAGCTTTAGTCAATTTAAAGAATGTACAATCAGCCTAGCGTATATGATCACTAAGGCACTGCTGCCTGTCACTGCTACTTAGGATATTTGGCGATGTCCCTACTGTGCTACTCACTCTTCTCCTTGCTGGAGACTCTGACACGAGGAGACAAAAGCCATGCCTCCACCAAGATGGCCGCCTCCACACAGACAATGCAGACCCAGGCATGGCAAGGCAGTGATGTTCAGGGAGACCACAGGCAACACTGGTGACTACTCCTCCCTCTGCCCGTCTTTCTTTGTGCACAGCTTCCATAGCGCAGTTCCTCTACCGATGGTGTTTTACTACATCAAATATTTCATCTGGCCTCCAAATTATTGTACTTATTTTAAAAAGCCAGTATAAAACAAAAGTAGTGGCAACAAAAAAAAAACCCCATTGTTCTTTGCATTCCGCAAAACTGCCTTTATACTTTGTGCTAAAAGACGCCCCTCCTTCTCATTTTAGAAAGCTGGCTGGTATGTTTCAAGTGGGATTCTGTCTACTTGAATAACCTGTAATAAATATGCACAGTGGCTCTCCCTCCCAGTCTGAGGCAAAGATCACCCTCCTGCAATTGCAATTAAAAGTTGCAGAACGAAGGCTGTTCCACAGTAATAAAACCCAAACACTGTTTAATATGCCACTAACATACTAAAATACCCATCTGGGCATCTACAGTGTTTTAGAGAATTCCTCGATAGCTCAGAAGACTGTAAAATGTTTCATATGTTTATATGGGCAGCTCATAACATGCTGGACATGGTGATTTTACCATGTGACTGCAATAATATATACTGTTGCCATAACCCTGCCTGGAGTGCCCTATAATTTACAGATTTCGTCAGAATATATTGCAGAAAAGCAGAATGCAAAAATCAGATCTAGGTAGCGGACAGAAGGAGATTCCAGTAAAACAAAATTCTAAACTCAAATCAGACCCCATATGTCACCAGTAATATTAAAAGTAGCAGAAATAGCCAGTTTGAAAACAGCTTTACTGGTCCAGACTTATTTCTCATTTCTGTGGCAACACACTTATCTACAGTATGTGGAATGCACCTATCTCACAAACATTAAAATAAAAGTATACCTTGTGTCTAGTTTGTATCTTCGATGGGGTCTGCAGGGTCTCACTGGCAGGTGTGTTTGGCGGAAGCGCTTTAAGCAGCACAGCGAGGTCCCCAGCAAACGTGGACCATACGGCAGCTGCTTTGAGTTTAACAATTAAAAGCGCCGGTATTGGCGTTTAGTATCGCGGCATTTTCACGAGTACTCGTGAACATGCCCAGCATCGACATCCCTATAGGTTATTATGGGCAACTGCTTTAGATTCTGTCTGATCCAGTTTTGATAAATTACTCTCACTGTATGTACAGCTTTTCAATGTTCTGCTTTTAAGATAAATGTGTGACAGAAATAATCTTGATGTAGATAAAGAAATAAGGTTTTTAAGGTCCTGATCTGGTCCGGATCTGCAGACGTGGTGCTACTGATGCAGTGCGTTTTGGCTGCGTTTTTGATGCGTTCCAGTAAAAAAAAATTAAAAAGTTAGGTGCAGTGCAGTGCATTTTTGACGCATTTGCGTTTCCTGACCGTACAAAATGTGACATGCAGTATTTTTCTGTCGTAACCTGAACGGACTGCGCACGTGAGAACTGTAGCCCATAAAACACATAGGGATACATTGGGATGCATTTTGAGTGCAGGAGCGTACGGATCAGGTCAGCACACAAAACGGACGTCGTGTGAACAGGCCCTGATACTTGGCATTTTCACGAGAACTACCAGAGTTGCAGCTGGGACCTGGCTCTGGTGCACACTGTCCTGAAATCATTAGTCTGTATTGTTTTAGTAAAACTGCCACATGACAATAACCAAAAATGTATCAGTACTTGTACAAGTATCGGTACTTGGAAAAAAAAAAATGGTATCGGTGCATCCCTAATATATATAAAAAAATAAATAAATCATACATTAAAACAGGGATGCACAAATCCAAGGAACTCTGTATGGTCCTTACAAATGACAGCTGCCTCCTAACTTAAATTTTTCTCTAGTCTAGTCTTGGAGCTGGAAAAGTATCTGTACATGTACTTGGTACTGAACATCCCTAATGTACACACACACACACGAGAGATAGCATATTTCCTCATTACATAGACCTGCACTACTACAAAATGGTTGTGTTTTAATGCTGCACCTCACAATACAAGTCTATGGGGTGTATTTATAAAACGTTTGCAGAGCCATTCATACTGCAAAACTGACATTTATATTTATTCTGTGTGAATAGGGCAAACTCTAATGTCTTGTGTAGTGGCTGTGCCACACATGGCCACTAGATGGAGCCGAGGATCAAAAGGAAAGAAATACTCATTTCTTATGCTCCTCTGCCCCATCTAGTGGCCATAATGTGGTATTTTCCCACAACTACATTCGTTCTGCACAAGAAAACATTTGATTTTGCCTTATTCCCACAAAACAAATGTAAATGTCAGTTTTAAAGAACAAATGGTTCTGTGTAGTTTTTTTTTTTTTAATGTACAACCCTATGAGTTAGCCAACTTACTAAGAAGAATGCACTGAACTGGACACTGGCAAACAAAAAAATCTTTAGACCAGCCCAGGATAACCCCTTCTCTACCCAGAATGCCTCACTTTGTAGCAAGTAGTACCAACAGCATGAGCATAAACATAGTCAGGTGGGACATGTGTCCCTAAAATGGACTCCAAGTACAGGATTTTACAGTAAACATTTTAAAAATACTATTTTTCTTTTTTCTTTCGCATCCACTGAGGGACACCGGACGTCATACTGCCAGAACATCCAAGAACAGTCCAACTGAGGAGTGGGAAACCAACATCAATCTAAAAGTCCCAACAAAAAACTGGAGAGTGCCTACAGCCCAAAAGTCACAAGAAAGACCAATGCCTTAATCTGATACCGGATGAAGCTGAACCCCCTGCCTAATAGGGGGACCTACCAACACGGCCAGAGGGAGGACACAGAGCACCAACCTGATGCCCCCCAAAAAATGGTGACCGGCCAGAGAGGAACATCATGGGAGGCAGCACCAACCATAGACCAAGCAACAACCTTGACAACCTGAACCCAGGGAAGTTAAAAAAACATAACCTAACAAGGTTATCAGGGAGCGGACCAAGTCCTTAACAGAAGCAGGAACTAGACAACGATCCTACCGGTATACAATAATAGAAATCAATAGTAATGCAATAATACAATAGTAATTAATTATTGAATAATATGGTCAAGAAATGAGAACTTCACACTTTGAAAGAATGTTGAAACAGTCAAATCCCCCCACCCTGGCAGAACGCTGAACGTTACTAGAAAAAAAACTTAAGATAGGTGTAAATTAAGGCTGCCAAGTCCAACAGAGAACCCAGGATTCGACCCCTCAAACTCAGCATGACTGAAGGGGTAAAGATGCCAACAATGGGTAGACAGGAGACGAAGGTTAGAACCTAATCCTAACTGGTGAAACATGTACAACCCTGATGGAGATGAGGATAAAGCAAGCACCTCCATCAATAGGCGCCTCTGGGACAACGCTAAGCGAAATCCTGCTGAAAAAAAACAATCCTCGTATCCTTGACATGGAGTCATAGGAGCTAAGAATGCTTGAGACCCCAAGATGCAATGGAGTAGTCACATCTGTGCAACAAGGGACAGGAGTGAGGAGGACAGCATAAAAAATTGTCTGGGTGAATCAAGAACAGGGAATAGTGCCATAAAGACATTCTTCATGAGTTTTGCAGACCAAAGAAGTGGGGCCTAACCCCAGCTGAACATGTTACACAGAGTCCGTACGGCATTATTCCCTGTTTCGTTAGCAGTTTAAGTCATTCTGCTCACTGACAGCTCACTGGGCTCTTCAACAGACTGCAACCTTAGTGCATGCACCATGTCCAGAAGCTACCAGTTGAGAAGAACAGGCTTCTCTTGAGGATCAGTGTGTGTGTAGGAATGAGACCCATGGTCCCATCCACAACTGGAACCAGTCTACCTCTCCTAAAGCAGGAAGAAAATGCATTGCTTCTACTGTGAAGACACAGCAGTACCCAAATGC